CCAAAGCGACACCAATATGAAGACTCACCCAATAAGCGACAAATTTCCATATGGATGAAGTGGTAGAAAAACTACCCTGTGGAGGAAGGATATAATTTTTAAACAATCAAGATAAAAAAAATTCCATTCAATTTAGTAATGAAACTGTTGAGCCTCAAGAGTATCCATTTGTAGTTTTCTGCATTTTCTTCTTAAAATTTGAAATGCTGCACTGTGGACATATGTATTCCAGTCCATCTGTTTTTGCATAATCCTGCAAGTTTAGAGCAATAATAATCAACTACAATTCTCATTTGAACAAAGTCCAAGGGCAGTTTCACAATCAACGACTCATGTATTTTTCAGTTTTTATAGCATACCTTGAAGGCACCAAGACCCTGCCTTCTATCGCAGCCAAAATGGGCCCACTCACCACATATACCACAGTTCACCCAATCCCCTGCGGCGCTACTGGTGAATTTTTGAAAAATCAACGTTAGGTAACAATGATCTTGTAGCGATGTTCACGTCTGACTAATTTGGAACCAAAAAATGAAACGAAAAAGTACCTGTGACACAATAAACAGCACTCTCCGTCTACATCATCATGAGCTAATTCATACTCCAGAAGGTAAGTCTCGTAATGTCTTTTAAGTGTATTTCCAACACCCTGTTTCACATGATCAATACCAGGAAACAAAAGTATGAAGTTCATCATCAAGATAAGTATTCAACATTGTAGCATCAAACACCAAACAGTAAATAGACCAAGCATCCCAATGGCCATTTCCATTATATCACAATGTTATCAAATTTGATGAGTGTACTACGAGTTGAAGATCATATACCATAGTAATAACTTACAACCTTTCCCATATTGAATTCTTACTTTCAGCTTTGCATGGATAATAAATGTATCTCCAATGCCTAAAAGATTTCCCTTCTGCACTACCCATCAGCAATAGATGATGTGCATATAACAAGCAAATTATCCATACAAGAGACTTGGACAATCCAATTTTTGCAGGATACTGATAAAGTCTCAAGGTATCCATACATTTCACAAAATATAGGTATCATTATAATACACAAGGAGGATGGTATCAAGTGTAAAATTGTGGAACTATCAGAGCTAATGTAACTGATATCTGTTCAGTATTCTGTAGTCGATAAAAGGGGGGTCTAGGCTACCAGTAGGGCTGCCACAAAACCAAGGGTTCATAAATGAAAAATATCATCTTATAACTTCAGGGTGGCTCAGATGGAAAACACTTTAGGTCTAACTACCTGGAGCTCCTGCGTTAGACTGTTGCCAAAGATCCTTGGTGTCCAGATGTACAGTAATAACATGCATTGAGCGTTTGCATCATGGCAATGAATCCAAAGAGCAAATGATTAGGACAGTTTTCCTTTTACCAGGAAAAAATATATATTATTAATTTATGTCCACAGCTGTACAAGATTTAAGTATTAAGACACAATGCCTTAGACTCAACTTCAATTCAAAATCTAATTCGGGATTGTCCCAGTAACTCACATTTCTAACACGTTGAACCTCTATTCTGTTTCCGTCTTGGTTTTGTTTTTTACTTTTTCTTTTCTTTGATTGCATCTTTTTTTTTTCAAACCAACTTTCTACATCAGAGACACATTTCTTTAACCGATGATTATATGAAACCAACTGACCAAGCCCAAGCGGCCTACACAAAATGCGTGTCAAGCTCAAGCCAAGCTAGCATAGTCTAGTCTGGCTGAGCCAAGCTCCAGCAAGCCAATCCTTCGCAGCTTGGTTCTTTTGCAACTCTAATTGGCTGAGGTGAGCAAAATGAAATCAAAGCTTTAAGCATTTCATCATACCAAAAAGTGCAAGCTCATAGTGCTGAACAGTACCTAACCAATGGTTTTTAAAATTCATATCAGAGTTGCTCCTTTTCTTTTAACTCTATCTGTTTAATTAATAAGAAAATTTAAGCATAAATAACCAGAAAACCTACAAATCTACAAATTTCGTGTAATAATTTAATTGTGGCATACCAATAAAAGCATGGATATATATCAAATGTATTAGGCTCAATTTAGTTCTGATAATAAAGAATGAAAGTTCAGGCCAAACTTGGAGCATTCAGATTCAACTGCAATCCAATCTCACATGTACTCCCTAATGCCACAGTATGAAATATCACTAAATAAAGGATGCAAGATTAAAGTTGTCCCAGTTGGCCAGGGGAACATTCTTCCCAAAATAAAAAGCTGAGTTCAAAATTCATCCCCAATCCTTCAGTTTAAAAACTAAAGTTCTTAACTATATCAAACAAAAAAAAAATGTAGAATTTTTCAGAAAGGTTAGGGGGCATACGGTCATTCTATTGGTTACTGTGTGATTGTGCATCTTTGAGAAAACCTGCCCTTTCCAATTGATGCCATTGCCAACATGAAAGCCACCTCGTGAAACCACCTGCAAGAGAAACCAAACTTTTAGTTGATATTATGTTGAATGTCTTTAAAGGTTAAACCTTTCAAACATGAGAAGACAGTTATATACCAACTTCACCATTTGGAGTGTTTCATGCAGCCAGCCCTCAGCAGGCTGAATCTGCTATTGACCAAAGATAAAAAAAAAAGCTCACCTCTCTATACAAGTTGAAGAGATCAAGACGCTTTGCATTGAGTATAGCATCTGGGAACTCAGAATGCCCACCTTGAGGAATCAGACGAGTGTGCCCCCGAAGGATTAAAAACTGCATGACATCCTTAAGAAACTCCTCCTGTGAGTTAGATGAATGAAAAATAAACATGAGGAAATTTAAATTGAACATCAAATGGCTACAGCAATTGAGTCATATGCTCTAGGGCCAAAGTTATACATTGTGGACACAATATCCCCAATTTTCTTATAAAAAAAGGTGAAAATTGCTCAACAGTCCTTCCACGCACATATTTTTGCCTTTAAAACCATCCATACACTTTTTCGGTTTTGAAGGACACGTATATTGTTCTCTTTTGTCATTTAGTCCAAAGTAAACTAGCCTTTATTTTTTAATTACCTATAGGATATTCAGTCTTTCACACAATAACAACCGCCGAAGGATGCAGTTAGTGCAAAGATATTAGACGGAGAGCTCACCGTCGTTCACCATGAGAAAGTAGTTACAACGAGAAAGTAGTTACAACGTGTTCCCTCGCTCTCTTTGAATCATGTGCAACAACGCAAATGATGCTCATCACATTTTATCCGTGTCTCTGTTCTTTGTGGCAAGTGTTTAAAGGACAAAAAACATTGGCAGCTTTACTGAGCTTTTCATTAAGACTTTGAGGCTACTTTATATGCTCTCCAATAGGATCTAAGGAAGATGGTTTAAGTGAACTTGTTATTTAATGGAGACCTGGTGGGCCTACACTTTGTTAAATTATAACAAATAAATTCAAAACAGATAAAACAAATAAATTTAGATAGTAATGAAAATCAAAGTTTTATTAATACAACTAAATTGACCTAAAATAGTTTTGAAAATCTAAGTCTTATTAAAATAAATAAATTTAAAACAAAAGAATCATGGAAAACAAAGTCTATAATATAGATAAACTAGGGATAACCCGTGCCTAAAGGCACGGTGTAATTCAAAAAAAAAAAAAAAGAGTGGCTTCTCTAACAGTGTGACAGGTGAGATGAGGAAGGATGGGATGGATTTTGGGGGAAAAATGTGTTGAGGATAAAATTTCAAATAGTTAGCTGATTTATTATATAGATTCATTTTATATGTACTGAAAATCAAAATCTTATTAAAATAGAAAAATTCACTTAAAATATCATCGAAAACAAAGTTTATAATACATATAAATTCATGTAACATATATTGAAAATCAAAGTTTTATTAATAAAGATAAATTGACCTAAAATACTTTTGAAAATCTAAGATTTATTAAAACAGATAAATTAAAAACAAAAGAACTATGGAAAACAAAGTGTAGGATATAGATAAATTCATTATTCAGATTTTTTTGTTGTAATTAAAAGGATAATGAGTAGAAGTAGGGATCGATAGAGAGGGATGAAGTCACCACCACAGATGAAGGAGATTCAAAAGTAGAGATTGAGAGACAGTGATGTGTCGCCACTGCAGATGAAGGAGATAGAGACATGCAAGGAGACGGAGTGACAACAGATGAAGGAGACGGAGTTGAAGTAGAGATGGAAAAAAGCAACGTTGCCACCATAGATGGAGGAGACAAAGAATTAGAGATGGACAGGCAGTGATTTTTCGCCACCACAAACGAAGGAAAAGCACAAAACAACGATGTAAAGCATCACCAGTCAAGCACGACTCCATGAATTTAGGTGAACCAGAGAGATATTGAGTGAAAGAGGAAAATGGAGTTTCAGAACTGAGATGTTCCTTTTCCCTTTAAAATAAGGGCTTGTTTGGTTTTGTCCTTATGGACCGAAAACTTGTTAGTTTGTCTTTGTTGACCAAATAAATGCAGACAGTGGACCACCCATCCCTTTTCCAAAAAAAAAAAAAAATAATGTCCCCTATTCCTATTCATGACAAATTTTTCCCCTTTTGAAAATGCAAGTTGGTTGATGAACAATTTGACACAAAAAAAAACCAAGTTGTAAAAAAAAATGACCTTCTTTATTCCATATTAGATCTCCACACTTGTAGCCAAGTTTGACAAGAAACAAAGCAAGACCTTCTTCCAACCTACCAATGCTATTGTGTACGGAAAATTATTCATTTATATTAGATAGTTCGGCATACTTATATTGTTTCTCCTTTTGTTATCTAGTTTTCTAGTTTACAATGCTTGCTATCATTGTCACCATTACCATCAACATCATCATTACTGTCAATAGTATTTGAGTGCCTATACACTTTGTTATAATGGCACCACCAGACCACTTTGTTATAATGGAGTAGAAAGATGCTAGATTTCCAAATAAAAGCATTGTGTACCATTTTGTAACAACCCCTAAAAGATAGCTTAGTACTGATATACAAGACAAGGAAGAATGAGCACACCTCGGTACACACGTGTATTGGGCTTCTCCCACAGCCATGTTTCTTCAAAGGAAGAGGATTCAAGGAAATAATTTGCTTTGCCTGATATGAGCTTGATGATGTTTTCCGATGGGTAACAGGATTTGCTCCAACAATGCTATGCTTTGTGGAAGGTCCAACAGATAAGTTAGCCTTCACTAGGCTTCCATCATGTCCAGCTGCCTCAGAAATTCCAGAAAAGGGCAGCATCTTCTGGTGACGAATGTGAGGTATGGGCCTCATTGCAGCAACTTTCAATTTTTGTCTAGCAGGATGAACTAAGGGCATCATAACCCAATTTATTAATCCAGCTTCCTTATTCTCTTGGTCTTCTATTTTGACACCATCGTGATTTCCAGAAATTAAACTATTTGGAGACACAGGGCTTGTTTCTGGGCACATTTCGGTTCTCTTTCTACGTGGAGCAGGCGACCTCAACCAAGTGGGACAACTGCAGACATTAAAATTGTTTAGACTGACATCTTTCCCTTGCCTTGCACCAAAGAAAAGGAGCCTCTCTGCATCATCTTTCTCGAATGAAGCAACAGCTAATCCCTGAATGCTGGCGATACCAAGTACAACTAAACTACGGTAAGAAACATCTGGTGCTAACTGCCTCAAAACCTGAAAATGCAATCCACCACAGGCACAAGCAAGTATAATAAGAGGTCAAGTACGGGGGCATCATTACTCCATAAAAGAATCTTTAGATACAAATGTGGACCACCAGTAATCCTTCTAGAAAGAAGAAGAGGAAGAATAAACCCTGATAAACAATTACCTAAAGATTTCCCTCACACAAATTGTAAAACGAAACAAAAATAATGCAAGTGAAGAACCTGTGAAGCCCATGTCGGAACCTTCAAGCAAACTTCAAATACTGTAGCCCCACAAGCTATTGAAGCAGATCTCCGAGGTTCAGACAAAGGCATCTTGTTTTCCTCGCTATTTGGCAGTGCATGAACCAGTTGACTCTTTTCTACAACTTCATTTTTTATATGATCCTCCAAGAGCTGAAAATACAAAAACACCACAGGTTCCAGAAACCCCCACAAGTATCCTGATTTCCCTCACAACTAAAACACAAATTTATCAAACCAAAATCTCTCTGAAATTACCTGATCATCAAAACATGTCTGTGCACTACCTGACACCAGAAGTGAGATGTAGGCTGAACTACTGGTTGATAAGTCACATCGCATGGTCACAACACCACGAGAAAATGTCTCCGCCTGAAGGGGTGGTGGAAGGGCACTGAACCACGTAATAATCATTAATCAACAACCATAAGTATCTCTCAATACATAACATATTTCTAAAAATATATCTCCCAGATAATCCCAAGCTCAGACATACCTAACCCGGTTATGGAGTTTGCTTCCTCTAATCTGACACAGAATGGAGAGGAAAAGCAAAAAAATTAGTATTCAATCATGTCAAAGGAACACTGTTGGAGACAGATGATAGCAACAAGAACACAATCTCATTCTTGTTTCTTCATCCCTCAAATAGCATTTACCATATATGTATGTGTTTGTGTGTGTACACACACATATAAGAGAAGTGTTCACACCCAGCATTCTTTATGTTTCTTTGTCCAAGAAATAAAGATGATAAGCCAACTTCTTTAAAATTCTTTGACGCAGGAGATGAGGAAAAGAGAAGAAAAGGAAGGGGGGAGGATTATTGTGGTTTCAAAGGGAGAGAAGGACACCAATAGTTTCTCTCATTGAAACAGTAGGCCTAATTGCCTATGCACTAGTCCTTAAGACATACTACATTTCAGAGTGATTTCCTAGATTTGCTTGAACTAGAGGAGGTGGCAGGGCACAACTTCTAGAAAAAATGGGATGAAACAAATAAGAGACAAGTCTAAGTAGCTTGAAAGACGTATTATACTTACTTCAATATTCAAGAGAGCATTGAGGCCATCTTCGAATGACCGTAATAAGCATGCATCCTGAAAAGAAGTTTTACTGTAAGCAAAATGTTCTAGTTTAAAAACATAACATGTCTTTCAAAAAGGTGCTTGCAAATAACTTGAAAAAATACTTTTGTCTCCACTTACCAATGTGCATGCGACTCCACAAACTAGAAACCTCATGTTCACATCCTCATCATATATCTTTATAGCAGGAAGAGTGCCAGAAGAGCTTTCTTCATCATCTCCAGCACCTATCTCCGGTGGGGTCACATTGACCTTAGGAGGGTCCCCCAGAAGGCAGGGGCCCAACTTACCATTCCCTATCTGGCTGTTAGAAGGGAGGACAAGGTTGTTTTGATCACAGTAAAGCCTGAAGGATGCATGAGCAAGTCGGAAAGCATCCCAAGTATGACAAGATGAACTACAATCCACAAAAGACAATTCCATCAGCCAATAATCTTTACAATCCAATGCCCGAACAGAGGGATGTGTGCAAAGGCAGACAAGTACATCAGAACCATGTGCCCCACTGATTATAAATTGGCTCTTCGTGGGACCCTCGTGTGAGCGTTGAAGTCCATCACTTGGTTATACACTTATAGTCTCACACGCACATATAAGAAGAAAACCACAACTTAATTAATGCAACACAACCATTAATTAACAAAAGCCCCAAATTAATATCCATGATGTGCATAGCTCGTCACCCAAAAATTGGGTCAAGCTTATGCCACATCAATCAACAAGGATGTAAAAAGGTAAGCTTGCAAACTCATGCATTCCTGCGCAAATCATGTCCATTTAGCAAATGACTGAATCCAGATTTCCCAATTACCCTATATACAACAAATTTCGGTTCACCAAAAACTCAGCATCACTTATTTTTTTTTTAATACATTCATGCAGCTTTATATAAAACCCATACAATAACGTCACACACAGTATGCATAGAATGTTGAAACTCAAAAAAAGTGACAATTGAATCTTAGCCTGACAGAAATCACTAATGCCACATATTTTGGAATAAACAGAAAAAGAGGGATGGACAAGAACATTGCAAAATGGGGCATTAGAGCTACTCCATGCTTATGCAGGTAAATAGATATATACCTCTGTACCACTGAAAATAATGCATGGCGAAAATGGGAAGAAGCATAACAGGAAAATGCATTCTTCCAATATATCACGTATGGAATACCCTGCAAAGATGAAAAATATAAAAATTAGACCAATATGCTTAAGAAGAAAAAAGCACCCAAAACTTGACCATCCAGGTTTCTTGTTCTCACATACTGAATCCTCCTATCCAACAATTGTTTATATGAGTACCCATCATCCCTTACCTTATAGTGAAGTGCCTCTGCCAACTTCTCACCATTTGGGAACTCCAAATAAACCTTCAGAAGCATTTAAATTGAATCAGATCAAAGTAGCATTGAGAAAAGTAAAAGAAAAGGATACAGAAATAAGGAGTGCACCACAACAGATAGATTGTGTAAGATAAATAGATGGAACAATACACAATTTTTTAACAAGACCATTTTGCAACTTACACTTGCGCTATTGTCTTGCATCATGACAAAATGCCTCCTTTTGCTCAAGTGACAATTAATCAATCAAATCCATCTAACAATTACCATCAAGAGAAAAGGAACATGACTTTTAGACTACAAACTTCATTTTCGAGGAGACTGATGAAGGACAATCCAAATGAAGAACATGTGCATTCTAAGAAGCACCCTGATGAACTCCAAACCAGAAACTACAGGTTCCAAAGTCTTAGCAAGTTCTTCATACATATGTTAATATTTTGGAAGCACCCTGCAATATGAAAATTTTACACATAAACTTATCAAGCACACAACCTTCCCCCATGGAAAGCTACTTCTTTATGAAAAGAAAGAGCCCTAAATTGCTTTTAAAATGTTGCTTCTAGCCGTTCTCAACACTAACGCCTAATCAAGTCATTGATAATTTTGGATGTGAGAAATCCAACTTTCGCTTCCTTTGAAAGTCAAAGCATATTGCCCCTAGCCCTAGGAGATTTTCCAAGAAATTTACAGCCTCTCAAACGGACTGCTACCAATTTAAGTTGCCACCTGTTAAATGACCTACTAGAGCTCACATTTCAATGTTGAATTCCCTTCACTCAAAATATAAGCCATTAATACACAATTATCAGATGACAAATCACAATAATATATGACAAGCTAACCTGGATAGAGCACTTTTGAAGAAAAAAAAACATTCCAAAGAAACATTTCTCTCACATCCTCCTCTTGCACACTTTTCCCACAGATTCTACAGATCCTTTGTAAAGCCTTACACATTCAAACCTAAACAGACATATTGCCTCCTATGGACCATTTGTGCCTTGAAGTCTCATATTTTCAAGTCAAAACCTATGTCTGCAAACCTTTAGATTTGGTCACACACCTCCAAGCCAATCCAACAAAACCTTTAGTAAGAAGTCCATTTGAAAATTCTGAAACCCTTTTCCTATTTATAAGGGATAACAATTAAGTAGGGAGAGGGAACTAGATTGAAGTATTCCCATACAAGTTAGTTCACCTCCCTTACATGTATAAAACATCTATGCCACTGTAGTCAACTCAACCCTCTATTGCCCAATTAACTTTTAAGCTAGAAGCAAGAGGCAAACCCAAAAACGAATAAAAAGATAAAGGATGTTCTCCCACCTCACAGTCACATGCAAAAGTTTCTACACATAGATGCTCGGCCAGAATCAAATAACTATGATTGATTCGGTTTTGCTTTGTTTCAAATTACTCAGACATCAAGATGCACTAGTTGAACAGATTTTGTCTTATATGCTACATTGGCAGAAGAAGGATGACAGATTTTAAGGCACATAGTCAAGATGTATCAACTGATATTAAGCAAAAATTCCAATTTTAGTGTAATAAAACCAAGTATAGAATCCAGAAAAGATAACCGCAAACAATAAAGCACAAAAACATATTGATGGAGATAAGCTACATACAGTAGTCGGCAATGTAGTACCGAAGAGCCCAGATATGGCTTCAGCAGAGGACAAGTCAACACCTCCCCAAACCAAAGATCCAACTTCACCACTGGGAAGCTGTTCTCCTCGCAAGTACACAAAATTCGGCTGAAATGAATCAATAACTTTGTGTAACTCATCAGTACTTGGATTGTTCAGAGTTTGAACCTGCATTGGATGAATTAATAGAAAAGTAAGAAAACTACTGCTATACAAGACAAAGTCAGCAAAACCTCTTAACAAAGGAACATCAACCCAAATACACTAATAAAATCAAACCATTAGACTTAAAGCACCTCCAAACGTCCTGAGGAAACAAGTTCTGGAAAAGGGTATCTCGGGCTGTCCCCCAACCCATCTTGCTTTGGGTTATTTTCAGTGCTGCCACATGAAATTGCAAGAAGACCACAAGTGTGCTTTGAAGCTACTTGAATATGAGACATTATTTTATTGGACGCCACCAGGTACGATGTGGAAGCCAAACTTGTTTCCAATACTGAGCCAATCAAGTTCCTTACCTAATTTCAGAACCCAAACACCATTAAACTTGGTATATCAAAACCTCCCGGTGCCCAAGTCCAAGGCCAAATCACCTTGAGCGAAAGAGACCCTGCCTTAGACACTGAATCAGAACCCCATCCACAGATCAAAGACCATGCCTTACTAATACTATCCAGCAAAACCAACCATAGCTTACAGAGAAGTGACTACTGAAGAAGACCACATAGAGGACCAGAAAGCACTAATTTCCGACCAGTTCAGAGATCAAAAGGGTAAAAGGAAACAAAAATTAAGGTTTTAATCTCAAGGACGGCCCTAATCGAGGAATTTCACCATACCCATATCAAAGAGTATGGAAGGATTAACAAAGCAGAGATATAAACACCAGAAAAATTGAACAACCCATTTGATAAAACCAGCAAAACTCACTGACGCAGATGAGAGAATCGAGAGGGGAACTCGAATTACCCAGTTAGAGACATCAGGAGATCGGCGACCCTTTGTCAGTGGGTAGCTCCAAATCCACAAAAACAAGGCACCCAATAAGGAGAAAAGTAATGAATGGGAACCCTAATCCCTTAAAAATCCACCCACCCACCCAATAAAGGATTTAGAATTAATGGAGAACGTTAAAAAAAAAAAAAATTCCGTGTACTAAGAATCTCTCTATTTATCTGTGATGAGTGAGTAATAGCCTCTATCCACCTCTAAATCAACACACACCCAAAATTAAATAAATAATCTTACTTGTTAAATAGGAAGGAAGGTGTGTGTGTGTTTGTCAGCTTTGGTACATTGACGATTACATTAACCCAAACACCACATCCAAGTCAAACACGAACAAAATATCAAAAGAAAGAAAAAGAAATAAAAAAGGTAAGACTCAGGACAGACTATAATTACAATCTTCTTCTTTTGACGAACTGTTGTAGTGTTTTAGATTATTTATAAAAAAAACACACACAAATTGCATAAACACGACAACGCCCAAAAAGGAAAATAAAAATACATACCAGAAATCCCAGCCATGCTTGTACATCCATAAACATTACCAAACGATAATCGGAATGTTTCAAAATCATTTTGATAGGAGGACTAGCATGACTGAGTGTACCCACGAGATTCGGAAATCGTAAACGTTGTCGTCTTTCTCTCTCTCTCTCTCTCTCTCTTTTTTTTTTATTCGTAAATTTGCTTTTCTGATGTAGGTATAGAAGACTTGAAGGTGTGCCAAACAAACACGAATTCTTCATTCATGCCGTTGATGGAACTCAGTTTCTCAAGCGATCATTCATATGATGCCCATTCAGTACATGAAGCTTGTTCCCTCTCAAAGAAACTCCTCCTCCTCCTCCTTCCATGGTCTGCGTCATCATCATCATCATCATCATCATCTATCTCTGCCTGAGCTGCACTGAAGCGCGTGACCGAAGGAAGTTAGTTTCACGAGGGAATTGGTTTCTTGTTATTTGGACTTCTAACACCCGAACCGTATATGTCCGTTTTATGTTAAACCATTGACAGCTTCCACAAAGTTTCTTACAATTACAGTAGCTTCCCACAAGTTCGTAAACATTGTGTCAACACGCGTAAACTCGTATCTATTTTGCTTGTCCTCTCAAGATTTCACCTCAGTCAATGGCTAGATTGCACTAACATACATACATATACTCAATTTTTTTAGAATTTAGTAGATATAAAATTCAGCTTTTCACATAAAATATTTATTTATTTATACTACTTCTAAATATACCTATAACTATCTTGAAAAAAGTTTTAAATCTCCTTTTTACCCTCTAACATTTCTTAAATATCCAAACTACCATGTACTTTAATAAAATATTTAATATACTTGTTATAAAATACATATAGACTATATCGTCTAGCTTCCAATTGTATTTTGCATTTCTCTCATCTTCCCCTTGTAAAGTTATGTCTTTTACTCTCTTTAATCTTTTCATTTACCCATAATTGTCATTATAAAGCCATTTATATCATTTATGCCCTTTGGTCTTCCATTAATATTAAAATGTACGTTAAAGAGTCCTAATGCATCTACTACAACTTATTGTCTCCCATAACTATTTTTTCCTCTTCCACCTTAAGCTTGTTATTTTCTCTGCCCTCCAATCTCCCGCAAGTCTTCTCTACCAACAAATGTACGTGAATATTTGTGATCTTATAGTTTTTGCAAGACCGTGTTGTTTTTTTAATAATTTCAACTATGTTGTGTTAGTTTTCATTTTCATGGATTTGATTGGGAAATTCTCTTTTGTTCAATAGGTTTATGAGCACGTGCAGAGGAAAATCTTGAACCACATGTTCTTGAAGCACTCTAACATACATTGATTCGAGTAGGTAATATATTTACGAATTTAAATGTTATTTTTTTCTCGACATTTGGTGCATGTATACAAGTTTGATGAACTATTTTTCCCCATGTTTGGGTGCATGTATAAAAGTTTGATGAACTCTTCCTACCTTATCCATAGTAAAATCCTCAATATTCCAAAATTTTAAATCTTTATTTGTGACAACAAATGTCATGTCCATATAGTATTTTTGTGACAATATATAAAAAAAAAAAAGGTTACAAAATTGGGTTGTCAATATGGTGTTCTATATAAGGTAGTTGTTGAGCTGCAAAACTGGGTTGAAGAATTTGCTCCCCAATCTGCAAAGCTAGGATTTGACAATTGAACATGGAAAGAAAACAAGCTTGCCACGTATCTACGACAGTGGCATCATGATCTTACTCTATTTGCTTTGGGGACTTATCACAACTTTACTTGGTAACAGTCCAATTTCTTTCCTAAGGACTCTATTTGCTTTGAGTTCTCGTTTTCAACATGGGTATTGACTTGCTATTATTCTTTCATTGGGGTTTTACCATACTAATAGTTTAATTGATTGTATCCCTTATATTTTCGGACTTCTAGGGCTCCATGCTTGTGATGAATCAACTTCTTTTACATCACAAGGTACAAAGTTAAAGAAAAGATTTGAAGTTGAAATATTTTTGAATAATTTCTCAAATTTAATTATGATAGAATCATTTTATCTTCCTTCTATGTTAGAAATGATCTAAAATACTATTTGAGGTGAAAGGGTATTTGACCAAGGTTAGTTGGTACACAAATATGTTGTCAAAACCAGTAGCACCATGCATTTGTCACAGCTTATCATCATATTTTCCTAACCCCATTGTTATGCATCTGTTACTGAATGGCTTTATAAGCAAATCCCTCAAGGGGACAAATCAAGCATCGACGATTACGTTTTATTCTATTTTATAAAGCACTTGTACCCAAGATATAAGAAACTATATGGTTGTTTCCAACTTAGCATGCTCAATTTTGTTCCTCTATAGATGTATTCATCGTTAGTATACAAAGTAGACTATGTTTTTCCTATTTTTTTTTAGTCAAAATGGAGGTTCTATTGGGTGGATTCTTCTATGAATCAAAAACCCATATGCAATTTGTGGGTAAATTGTTCCCTCCATTTTATTTGGTACACAAATTTAGAGGTTTTTAAGGGCATTCACAACACCAACACTAAAACATATGATTCAAAAATTGAGTTGGGATATAATCGTCTCTTATTTTTCCTACTTATGATCAAATTACAGTTCCAGGGGATCAATATTAGTGTGCATGTTAGTGTTATAAATCTTATGTATTAAGTTAACATTATTAGGTGAATAGAAGAATATTTTTTTTAAGTAAAATAATCTTTTTGTCTTCAAATCAAATCTTTCACTTTTCAAATCCACTTGGGTTTAATCAAACCCCCCATACTTGGCTTTTAGGGCATGTTTAGATAGTTTTGGTGTAGGAGGATTGGATTGGTTTTACCAAACCCTCTCAAACTCAATCCCCTCTTAGGGGCTGTTTGGTAAGGGAGTATGGGAGGTTTGTCAAGATAAGTTTGAGAAAAATAGTCCAAAGGACCCTCAAACCCCTTGTTTGGATTAAAAATTCAATTTTCAGTTCCCAAACTTGGCCCATAATTAGCCGAAATATTAAACTCATAATCATGAGTTTTGTCAAACATAGGAGGGTGGGTTTAGAAAGATGGGTTAAGGATGCAAAAAATAATTGTATTCTTTAACGTGAGTATGAATTTGATTAATTAAGGACAAAATAGTCATTTACAAGACAAATAGTTGTTAATAATTATGATGTATTCGTGAGTTCTACATGTGTATGTGTTACATACCTAACATGGATATGAACCGAATTCAATATACCATCTTTATAAAGAAGAGTTTGAGGAAGCCAATCCAAACTGTAAAATCGAAAAAAAAAATTATTATAATTAAAAATCCTAATTAAAGGGGTAAAATAATAATTAATTGTTAAAGTATGGGTTAAAAATGTAAATTTTAAAAAAATGAATTTATATTGAACCGTTTAATCATTTCGGGTCAAGAATTAAAGTTGTTATACTCAGCGAGAGCTACGCAAACACACTAAATATCGTATTTTTCTCCAAAAAAAATCAAAGACAAATAATTTAGGCCTAAGGTTTGGGAAGCTAAATTTGGGCTTCCTTAGAATTCTAATACATGTGCTTATGCTACAAGACGTAGGGTTTGCCCTATTTAGATGTAATTTTAACCTAAAATATGTCATATGAAATGAGTAGACTAAGGGTGTATATCATATGTTAGGTATTGACTAGTGTAACTAGTGAGTCAAATATAATATTTATGATTAACCTTGTAATTAATAAAATCATATTATGATTAATTTGGTATAAGTTAATGTTAGTGATTTAAAGCAAGTTAATTATATATTAGCATTACTTTAAATTTTAATAGCATATCAAGTTTAATAAAATTATTAGTTTGTTATGTGATTATGAAATAATATGTATGTTAAATGATTATTTAGCATATGATTATTGTGGTGGACTTGTGCTTATGTTTATAAAATTAATAAATATGTTGTTATGTTGGAAGTAATAAACATTCTAGTTGTGTAAATTGATGTGCCCTTTAGGTGTGAGACCCAATCATGTATTACATGCATATTAACATAATTTTATGGGTTAAATTACAATTCTGTAAAAATATTAGTGGGTTGATTTTGAAATCATAAAAAAAACTGGAGGGGAGACAACGGTAATTAACCATTACCTTTACATATGTTGGCTTTTTTTTAAAAAAAAGGTGTGTCGTGTGTGTGTGTTTAAGATATAAAAAATGTGTGTGTGCCTGATTGTTTTACTGAAGCCGAGAGTGAGGAGAGCAAGAGAGAAAAAGGCAATAAAAAAGAAAAAAGAAAGAGAGAAGAAGAAGATATCAAGAAAAAAATACGTGTGTGTGTCCATTTGAACCGTGAGCAAAGAAGGTATATGGATTTAAGTTTTGAGTTGTGATTAATTTTAGTATGTACGTATTTATATATGTATGGGCTTTTTTAGCATGTTTTAATTAATAGGTTGTTTTAATTTAAATACATGAGCTGTTTTATGTTAATGACTGTTTTTATTCAAATTTCATAGGCTGATTTAGTTAATGTCAAACAGATTTTGTGTGGGTGAAAATAGGGGGATGTTTTGCATGATTTAGTGAGTGTGTGAGTTTAGGTATAATTGTTTTAAAAGAAACGCACGATAAGAATTGAAAATGGGTGTCGATAATATCGAAATCTTAATTTCTAAATGTTATTATCATATGTGTGAATTTTAATCCAAATGACCTGAAATTTTTCATGCAGCATTTTTAAATGATGCTTGATGTGATAATGTGACTTTCGAATGCAAATGAGTATAATATCTGGTGCGAAAATGTATAAAATACCGAAAGTGCAATTTTTAGGATTCGGGATCGAAATGTGTGAAAATGGACCCCCGGTCAATGTGTTTGACCTATTTAATCCTAATTGTGATTAATGTGAACGATTTTAGAAATTTAGGGAGGAAATGTGATCCCTAAAACAAAAGTGCTAATGTGTGAGTAGATAGTGCGGTAACGGGGTTACCGATGGCACTTTGAGGTACATCATTTTCATGCATTAGTATATAATTAACTATTAAATTTAATAAACATATTGATATTATAATTACAAATGTTTTAGGTATAATGGGTGAGACAGTCGGTATTAGAACAAATACGGTGGCACCGAAAGGATCCACCAATAAGACCGCAAGGCTATAAATTTGTACATCTGAGGTGGGTGTATATCTTTATATGTTTTGAAAATACTATTTATAAGATGATAGTAAATGATAGAATTTAATAGCAATTCTCCAGAATTATGCTTATGTGATTGAATGATGCTTTTTATATGTATTGTGTATTGTGGAATGTGGCGCACTATTTGAGACATGGTCATCGATGCCTGATCACTGGGTGTGTAGTGATGTGTTAGCACTGTGGTGTTCTCGAGAGGTTCAAGAGACACGGATCCATGTGGGATCGATTACCGATGAGGGGTAGTATGGATGTGATGTGATTTGTAAATTCTTTGAAATTTGATTGATGTTGTTGTTTGATACGTGTATCTATATAGTATCTATCTACTTTGGTGTATTACTATTATTTTCATTTCATATACAACATGTATACTCACTAAGCACATGATTTAGCTCACACCCTTATAGATTTTTCTTTTCAGGTACTATAGAGAAGGATGCAGACCGATCCACTGTCTAATTGATTGAGTCTTGTACAACGTTTGTGTGATATTACTCAGGTTGAGTGCCAGTATGACAAATTTCTGGGTTGTGTATTATTTTTGTAAGAGATTATTATAGTAGCTTAATAGTATATATTTGTAAATAAACTCAACAAACATACTTTGTGATGTATGCTATATGTGTGTGAGATTTTATATATGTTTATAACCTGGGAAACAAACGATTGGTACATGTGTTTTATCTATAATACAAGTTATGAGATAGATTTTACTATCATGTTTAATGACTAAGGTGATTGATGGTGTTGTTGCACCTGTGAGATTATTTAAATATTTGAATAGTTTAGATTATAATAATTATAAACAGGTGTATTAAAAACCTAGTCGTATCTCATCCTTGGGAGACCAGGATGGAGCGTGACATTAGGTGTTTATTTAAATGTCTAGGTGAATATAAGTATGCTAGTTGAGTTGATTATCTTACATAACATGCTTGAGATCATGTTAAAATATCATTATATTGCATTCGTTATGTAATGAATATTGTATTGCATTATGCATGAATTACACTACATTCATGGGCATTGACATGGTGAGAGTGTGTGCATGGTATAAAATTAATCATCACATAGGTGGTTCATCGAGGGCTCGAAAAAGTCGCACTAAGGTTTGACTGAATCGCACGGGAAATTAAATGGATAAATGTGTCGAGGTATAACAAGAAGGGCTAGATTTTTCTTCGGGTGCAAGACCTACTTATTTGGTTTATACATTTTTCGGCGGTGCAATTCCAGAAAAGTGTAACAGACAAAACAGAGCCGTAGGTGAGATGTTCTGAAAATTCGTTGATGGTGTGGTGTTCCATTAGTGTAATACCATAAATCATACACACACAAAAGACACAAAAAAATGAATTAATTAGTCATTGAGTATACATAACATCAATGACGGGGGTTTGGAATGCCCGGATACATACTTATGACATTGCATGTGTTGTGGGAGCTCAAGATGGGACTCGACATTGGTATTGCTTGCGTGAGTCTCAACTCATGACATGACATAATTTATGACATTTGTTCATAATAGACATATTAAAATGTATGAATGAAATGACTGTTGCATGTGACATTTCATATGCATTTAGGTTAAAAGGTATTTTCTACAAGAGTTACCCTATTGAGCGTTGACTCACCATTTATTGGAACAATTTTCAGGTATCGCATCGGTGTCCACCAAAGACGAGGCCATGGGCCCGCTTTGATGACAGAGCCAGTTTGTGGCTCTTATTTTGACTCTGCAGTCCCTTGTATATGTTTACTTTTGGCCTTGTATAATTTTTGCAAACAAAAACTTCTTTTATATTAAAAAGACATGTATATGAGACTCTTTTGAGACATTTATTCTTTTATGAATGAATGTACGTAGTGGTGATGATTATGGTAGTATTCAATACTATACCATTGAGTATGGATGAATGAACCTGGTATGGTCAATATTATACAAGTTGCGTTTTGGGTAGAGACTCTGGCCGAATTTTGTTGAGTTATGAATCTTGGTAAATGTGGCATAACGACATGATATCAAATTACACAATATTTAGGGGTATTCCGCGTTGATGGGTAATCAACGGGGTAATTACAAATGCCTGAATTTTGGGTGTCATACAAATCCTCCCCAAAAATCTATCCAAACAAGTCCTTAGTGTGTGAGATTCACATCCAAATCATTTACAATATCTTGTTTAGTGAGTATAATACACATGTATGTACCAAAAAAAGAGTATAATACACATCCAAACATGTGTAGAATCCACAGACTAATCACAATTATAACAAAAAAAATCTCATAAATTAACTAAAATATCTATAAGTCAATCTAATATATTTTTTTGTTGTCAACTTAAAAATTTCATATTTGATAAATAAAATATTTTATTAGAGATAGAAAAGTTATTTGGCGTAACTATCCTAAGTTGGATATATGAAATCTGCCCCCCTCCCCCGAGTGGATTTACTAAAACCCATGTACGTCATCAATGCATTATTCACTGTAGGTCGGGATCGAACTACGTTATGAATTTCGAGTTTAAAAATTTTAATCAAATATAAAATTAAGTGGTCTATTATACTATTTTTCTTAAATCCCTTTTTAAACCCGTTCAAACCCAATAAACAACACACACCTTATAATATTGGTTTTTGAACTGAGCCAAAGCCCAAATTGCCGGCATAGCTTCGGCCAGGTCAGGCTCCAACTATTGAACTCATCGATCACAGTAAATTGCTTGCCATGAATTGATCAGTTGAATTCTGTGGCACGGTATGGTCGGGGTCGGGGTCGGGGTCGAGGCCCACTCATGGCAGCCTGGGCTTGGGCCTGGGCCAACCAGCAGGTGGGGACAATGCCGTGGGCGGGGCGGCCTGGTCCCTCGGGCTTTGCTACGGCGTCAACTTCCGCTTGTTGTTTGTGGAGAACGAAGGAAGCAGCTAACCGATAAGTAAGAGGATCCCGTTTTAGTAATGTTATGGATTTTATTTAGTGTAATTATTGAATTATTTGTGAATTTGTTTAAAGAGCAAATTGTCGGCTTAATAGTCGTATTGAATTAAGTTTTAAATTTAAAATTTTAAAATAGGTCCGAATAAACATTGTTAAGCAATCCCAATTACGTTACCCGTACCCGAATTGGACAGAATTGACTCCGTGACCCCGAAATAAAAAGAAAAACAGAATTGACTCAGAAAGTAAAAGTCATTTTCTTCCTCTCACTGGAAAAATGGAAATATTCAATCAAATGAAAACAAACAAACAACAACAACAACATTATCAAAGAAGAAGCATGAGATGAGTATTCAAAATATGAGAGGCTGATGATGTAGCGCAGACAGAGATATCTACTTATGATTTTCAAATCACAACTGGCGGATAAATTCGTGCATATCCACACACATACGTCGATCTGGATGAATCATGGAGACAAACAACTTGAATGATTGAATACATAGAAAATTCAAGTGTGTTTGTGTGTGTGCGAGTCACAAGGTGAATTCTCCACCCACCTACCCACCCCTAATTAGCTTTTCTGAGTTTCACGGTTTTTCTGTCTTCGTGTCGCAAAGCTGTTGGCCTTTCTGCCCTAATTTTTGTCTTCACTCCAAGATCTCATTCCGATCATTCATTGCTGCTCAAGGTACACGCACAACTTACATGATTATAGATGGTCTCTTTCCCCAATTTTTATTATTATACTAAATATTCAATGTTGCTGTTTCTGATGACGCAAATTCGTTTGTGTTTGTGTTTTTTTTATCTATTAATTAATTCAATGAATGATTCTTAATCGGAAAATTTTATTTTAGGGGAGTATTGAATTGAATGGGGAAAGGCAACATGGGTTTTCTTGAATAGGAATTCATCCTTTCCGCGTTGATAGTGGTTTGACGACAGGTTGATTTGGAGTTGATTTTCTCGACAAATCACGTCTTCACCTCATTGTTGTCCGCGTTACCTGTAAGATAAGATTCACTTAGTTTTTTCGCTTTTTGTGGATTTCGAATTTCTGTCTTTTCTTTTGAACTTGAATTTTGGACTTTGGATACTGCTTCTCAGTTAGATCTTTGACTTGTTTCAAAAAACATAGATTTGGTGTTTCTGTGCATGGATTTTAATACTCAAACTTCATAGGTGGTGGCAATATTGAGACATCGTGATCGCCCTAGTTTTGGGAATTTGTGGTTCCATTCCAGTTGTAGAATTTACAAGGAAAAAATTGTTTCTGGGATTTGGATGGAAAATCAAGAGCTGCAGTTACTTCGATAGTCACTGGAATTTAGAGTTGATCTATCCATTTCAGCCGTTTAGATTGCTGTGGCATCAAGAATAATATATAAATCTGATCGGAGTCCTTGGACATTAGGATCAATTTCTATTTTTTTGGTCGAAATTGTTCGGGTTTGCAGAAGCAGTAATTCAGTTTGGCACTTCCTCTTTCTTGGATTAGACCACCTTCATCATCTCAGTTGATTTGGGATTGGATAAGAGTGGCCAAATGAACATTTCACAATGACAGGGACAGGAGGGATTGTTTGTCGATGGATGCCTCAGACAAGTCATTTTCTGATCTAGTAGGTCTTATTAAATCGTGGATCCCTTGGCGGTCCGAGCCTGCTAATGTGTCAAGGGACTTTTGGATGCCTGATCAGAGCTGTATGGTATGTTACGAGTGTGATTCCCAGTTCACATTGTTTAACCGTAGACACCATTGTCGACTTTGTGGCCGAGTTTTTTGTGCCAAGTGTACTTCAAACTGGGTTCCTGCATCATCTAGTGAGCCGAAGACTCCGACGGAAGAGTGTGACAGGATTAGGGTCTGCAACTACTGCTTCAAGCAATGGGAACAGGGCTTAGCTACTACTGGTGACAATGGGATCCAGGTTGTCAGCCCAGATATTTGTACTTCACCATCAGCGACAAGTTTCATCAGCACCAAGTCTAGTGGTACTGCTGACAGTAGTAGCATTACCCTTGCATCGATGCCACAATCTTCTGGGCTCAGCCCACATCAATCAGCAGTAATGGAAACAAATGCGGACAGTCAACATATTGTAGCATCAGAAAAGAGAAATGATCAAGGTGCAGACATGGACCAATATCCAAAACATCATGGATTTTGCAACAGGTATATTTCATATCTCTTCTTTGTAGTTATATCCTCTTTGGGTTCACGTTCGAATATGCACCCATTTATAACTTATCATGTCTGGTGTTAATTGTTATTTTGATGGTAAATAATTTACGAAATCTCTAATAATTGGTAGATTGTCCCCATCACGCTGGGCTAAAACCTGTTACTTTATGTGTGGAGCTCAAGATGATGTCGTTACAAGTTATCTTGGGGGACTATTTGCAATCGCTTATTTGAGGGGCACATTGATCAAAGGTGTTGCCCCTGATACTGGTTTCCCATTTAGGAGTTTAGTGAAAAATCAAAGCACGTTGATGGATGGTACCAGAGATACTCATGTTGCACTGATGTGAGGTCTCTGGTATGTTGGTCAGAGTGGTGGCTCAGTTGGGTTTCAATCTGCCCAAAATGGAATACGGTTATCGCTTCCCAAGTTTATTGGTTGTGGAGGAGAATCACATTTTAAGTGTGGGGCTCCTCTTGCACAGCACTTAAGCAATCTTACTTCTCTGTGTGGGGGCTCCCACATGTGCCACAAAAGGAATTTGTTCACGGATTTTCAAGTCTTCTTCTATCTCTTTTTGTTTCTTTTTTAACTCCGTTTTGTCTTGTTTGTCCAAATGTTATCTTATGCTTGAAACTGACATACTTTTTTCTCATCCTTCCTCTGTGGCTGTGTTACTTCTCCTCTAGTCAGTTCCTCTGTCTTCCACATCATATTGTCCGTCTCATCACCGATAGTACCTGCAAACAATATATCTGTGCATATTGAATTGACGTGTGCTTCAACTTTAATATTGTAAACCCAAGCGCAGGTTGAGCGAAGTAATATATTTTTCGGAAGACCGAGGTCGAACCCTTAAAGAATTGTAATAAGAAAGCAATCACACAAATACTAAAACAAATTTAAAAGTAAATGATTTGTTTAAAGAATTGTTGAAAGATGAAAATTGATTTTAATAATTAAAACAGTTATAAAAATACTAGAGCATCAGGTACTCCCTCTCAATTCCATACAATAATGATTAAAGACTCAAATCTTAACTTGAGATAAGAATCAGATGTCGGTTAATTCGAGTAACAAATCAAGTAAGAAAAAAGTTATAATCAAAATATTATTCAGGAACCTGAATAATCATCCAATTATATTATTTTATGAAATAATGATAAATACCTCAAGCGTGGAATAGCCAGTTATTTACTCGTAGGAAAATTCAAGCAATCGGTGTACATGGCATAACGATTCAAGGATTTTTACAGAATAAAAATTTTGCTAAGAAATCAGAAGTTAAATTAACAAAACATCATAAATCATTAAGCACAGAGTCAATAACAGTACCCTACTTCGTTGAGAGGTTCTCCCCTAGCCCTAGCCTAGCCTTCTAGCCAGACACGACGAACTAAAATAAAAAATAAAAAGATGAAAAAAATAATAATCAATCTCTAAATGAGAACCCTTATTTATACTTAAAATAAATCCTAAGTATAGGTTGAAAGGAATTCTTTTCCAAAAAAGAAGTCTTGTAAGATTAAATCCCGTGCATAAAATCTTTGGGACGCGGGTACAAAATCTGTGCAGACTTCGATCTTAGATTTCGCATATTTAGAGGCTGAATCACGAAAATTTCATGAAATACACTTTTGTAGCTCTTGATGTCTTTTTTTTCACCCCCAAAAATCAAGTAAATCGGATATCAGAGTCAAAAGTTATGACCAAAATACTGAAAACGTGTCAAATCCTTTTCTTCTTGGACACTTTCCTAATCCAACTCTAAATGAGTTTTCTTCCAACTTGGACTCTTATAAGGATTAAATTGCTGTCATATCTTCAAGTCTTCCTATCTCAATCTTGACTCTTCAATCCTTATCAGTTATCATTCTTCTTCTAGTAATTGCTTCACTTGCATTATTCATTATTACTTTAAATCAACCAATGTACCTGCAAAATAAACTAAACAACTAGAAAAAGTATAAAATTAGAAAATTAAGGAATTTAACATATTTAATCACAAATAATATGTAATTAATCAATCATTAAATATAATAAAATAGCAATTTAGATAGTTAATCAACGTGCACATATGTAGATTTATCTACTACTTTATCTCATAATATAGACGTCATAAATGCATATAAGACTAAGGTGTGTTATCTTTGTTTTCAGTAAGGCATATCATTCTAAAGATGAAAAAGTGATTGGTGGAGGGAGTTGAGAGTGAGGTAGTGCACACCATATTTTGCCTTTTCTACATTATGTTCTAGATTAGTGTACTAATTGAATGGACATCTGACACTATGAGGTGGACTTCACTTGGTTTTCATACCTACTAATGGTGCTTATGAATCCCTTGGAAGAGTTGGTATGAAACTGTGCGCCACCTTTTTTATTGAGTGCTGGTAGTTTGGCTCCATGAATTGTCTGGGTTACTTTCTTGAGCAATGCGTAGCAGGATGAGCACCAAACATGTGTTTTTTGATGCTCTTAATAACAGGAATTCATACTGGTATTTATGAGGCAGCCTGGAGTCCCTTTTGTCTTTTAAGCTTATAAGTCTATTATACGTGATGATTAAGTAATGACGCATAGTAGCATCATATCACCTGTTCTATTATGTTAAGGGGCTGTATTTGGTTTGTCAATATTTCCTTCCCCATTTTTTGCCACACGGTGATATTCGAAGAACATGAGAAAAGTAGCTGCAGAAATGGATGGGCACAACCAGCTATAAAAGAAAAAAAAAATGATGAGTTCAGCATGGAACAGGTGCATGGCATGTGTTCTCCTCTACATTAAAGTAAATACTGTGTGCCCTCCTCTACAATAAAGTAAAAACTGTGGCTTTAATGCAGGTACTTTATAGGTTTGTATCTTGCAAATCTTATTGTTATAGCTAATTGACTGTTGTATGCATATCTTTTGTACCAGGAGTGATGATGATGATGATGAATATGGAGTTTATCGGTTAGATTCCAACCCCCCACATTTTCCTCGTGTTAATGGCTACTACGGTCAAGTTCAGTTTGATGAGATTGACAATGACTATGGATCACATAAAGTGCATCCTGATGCAGAAGCTATTGATACAAGAAGTATGGGCAGCTCTTCCTTACACAATAGTTTTGATTCTCAGTGTTCTGAAGTAGTTCAACATCTTGTGAAAAAAGACAAACATGATACTGGTGATCAATGTGAAGCTCCTTCCTCTCTATATGCTACGGAAGATGTTGATGATGAGCCTGTAGATTTTGAGAGTAATGGAGTTCTTTGGCTCCCACCCGACCCAGAAGACGAAGATGATGAAAGAGAAGCACTTCTATTTGATGATGACGATGACGGGGATGCAACTGGAGAGTGGGGATATCTACATCCTTCAAGCAGTTTTGGAAGTGGGGAATATCGTAATAAGGACAGGTCAAATGAGGAACACAAGAAGGTCGTGAAGAATGTGGTTGATGGGCACTTCAGGGCGTTAGTAGCTCAGCTTTTGCAAGTTGAGAACCTTCCTGTCGGTGAGGAAGATGACAATGAGGGCTGGTTAGAGATTATTACGTCTTTGTCCTGGGAGGCTGCTACATTATTAAAGCCAGACATGAGCAAAGGTGGAGGAATGGACCCAGGAGGATATGTGAAGGTGAAATGTATAGCTTCCGGACGACGTAGTGAGAGGTAAAGACTACAAGTATTTATTCTTTTGAAAAATTATTTTTAATCATACTATTATTACTAAATAATAGACAGAGGAACTAGATGTGGACACAATGGGACACAAATAGACTGAGAAGGAAAATTGTGAAAAAGTAGGACACAGTTGATGAGGAAATGAAGAACAATATTATTGCAAATGATATTTACTTATATTGCCACTGTCATGACTACTCTTTTTTTATGGTTTTCTATCTTCATTTATATTTACTCTCTTTTTTTTTGTGATGTTTATAATGTCAATTTTATTTTTTATTAAATAAATACTCATAATATTTCTCCTAAAAAAGTCAGATACATCACAGCTTGTTTATATCATTTTTAAGAACATCAGGTATGGCTCCTACTAAAACATTTATGTGCGTTGTTCATGAATGCGTATAGCCTCCCAAGCTAGTTTGAGTCAGCTTCCTTATCCAAAACAAACATAAAAAAGAGCATGTTTGAGGTGACTTGTGAGCCTCTTTTCTCATTGGCAATTGGTTTTGGTTGGGTTAGGTACTCTAACGTAATATTAGAGTCGGGTTTCATGAGGTTGTGGAGTAAGTTTCATTTATATGTTGCCTATTGAGTCTCTCCACCCGTCGCCTATTGGTTTGGGGTTGGGTGTTTTATCATATTTGACCCTGCTTAGGGTTTGTAGCAGGTTTTCTTTTTGGTCAGGATAATGAAGAAGGATAGCGGAAAGAGGAGGCTTGATACTAATAGCAAAATATGCCATTAAAACAGTGACTTTTTCGTATGCAAGATTGTATAGGAATTAGGAGATTTTAGTTAGAGTTGTTTCATGTTTGGCTGGCTTAGTGTTGGGGACCACAATAGGATTTGCGAGGAGCTAGACAGCTATCTCAATGTAAAAGGAGTTGGGCAAGCTTCAAAAATTTAACGCGTAGTTACTAACTCATTTAGATATGGACTACTTCCTTTTTTTTTCCTTTTTTATTTTGGTGGGGAGGGAGAGGGGGAATGGAGATATTTGGATTGTTTGCGCTCCCAACTAATCCATTGGAATGCATGTAGTTCTCTCATTCTCACACGGATTCTCATGATCAAAGTTGATTTTGGAATGTCAATCTGAATTACACAATTTTGTTTATTTGGTTTTATATTGGGTTAATTTTGGCTTGAAACAATTTCTTCCCCACCCCCTTATTCTTTTCATCTGTCTTTCCTTTGTTCTATTCTGACTGGTGTGGAAAGTGTACTGCAGTGCTCTTTCAATGGTGGTCATTATGTCTTGCTAACTCTTCATCACCACCATAGAAACTATAAATGATATTGAACATTTCTGCTTTAGAAGAGCTACCTCCCTATTAATTTCAGGTTTTCAGGCCACACAACCAGTCCCACATTCTCATATGCCAATTAAGTCAGTATTCTTTTTCAACTATGCTTCCGAAATCTGAACCTGAATTCGGCATGTGTTTGTGTTGCGCGCTTTTTAAGTTTCTTTTCTCTTATGAAGATATTGGTTGGTTTTCATTTAGTATGGTGGTCAAAGGAGTTGTATGTAAGAAAAATGTGGCTCATCGGCGGATGACATCAAGAATAGAGAAGCCTCGCTTTTTGATCCTTGGAGGGGCTCTTGAATATCAGCGGGTTTCTAACCTCTTGTCAAGTTTTGATACTCTGTTGCAACAGGTTGTGACTCAATAACCTTAAACATCAGTTGATACTTATATCTTGAACTACTGTGTATTGATGCTTGTTGCTCATCTACGAGCATATTATTCATATCCTCAATCTTTGATCTTATTGTTTACTTCTTTTTGTTTAGGAAATGGATCATTTGAAGATGGCTGTTGCAAAGATAGATGCACACAATCCAGATGTCCTTTTGGTGGAGAAATCAGTTTCCCGACATGCCCAAGAGTATTTACTTGCAAAAGACATATCACTTGTTCTCAATATTAAAAGGCCACTGTTGGAGCGTATAGCCCGCTGTACAGGTGGTCAAATAGTCCCTTCAATTGATCATCTCTCATCACAGAAGTTGGGATACTGTGAAATGTTCCACGTTGAGAGGTTTCTAGAAGAGCATGGCACTGCCGGTCAGGACGGAAAAAAGTTGGTGAAAACATTGATGTATTTTGAAGGGTGTCCAAAGCCATTGGGTTGCACTGTAAGTCTTCTAAACCAGAAGATAATAAATAAACTTCCATTGAAATTCTGTATTCGAATTTTTACATACTTCAACGGGCCAAAACCACGGATAGGGGCAGTAAGGATTCCGAAGTTCTTCATTAGCTTCAATGTGATTACTGGCTAGAAGATCATCTTGGTGGGCAACTTTGTTTTAAGTGTCTAGCTGCAGTCTGACCATTTTATGAAACTTGTTAAGTACCTAGGGGTTTGATTGCATAGATAGACCTGTGAGACAGATTTTAATTAACTTTCTTGTTTTTTCTTTGTTAAGATATTACTTAGAGGTGCCAATGGAGACGAATTGAAGAAAGTGAAGCATGTGGTTCAATACGGAGTTTTTGCAGCTTATCATTTGGCTTTGGAAACATCTTTTCTTGCTGATGAAGGAGCCTCTCTGCCGGAACTTCCATTGAACTCTCCAATAACTGTAGCGCTTCCACTTAAACCTTCAATTATTGACAGGTCCATTTCAATGATTCCTGGTTTCGCAGTTCACTCCAATGAAAAAACTCAGGGACATCAATCTTGTGGCGAGCCACAGAGGTCTAACAGTGTCCCCACTTCTGATCTGGTCTCAACAATCACCAATGCTTCCATTAAAACTAGAACAACGCCATTGCCTAGTCTAGTTAATGCTCCAAGCACCCACTACACGAAGCCTACTTCCAACATTATCCACTCCACTGCTTCTTCCGGGCAATGTGTTTCAGATTCTTACCACAATGACACCTATCCTTATCAGGCACTCGAGGAGCAAAGTTTAATGGGTTCAAAAGAGTCTTCTGAGCTGGATACTTCTACAGTTAACCTTGGTCAAGATGCCATGGGTGATCGTTTCACTGCAATTAGTTCTGGGCTTGCAGAAGCATTGGGGCAAGGTGTTGTGCACAACAAATCAAAAAATGTTTGCAGCTCATTGGTTGCAAATCAAAGTAATACAGAACCACCATCTGTGCAAGTAGATGGTAAAAGTGTTTTTGAGGAACCAGTTTCTTCGAAGGAAGAGTTTCCTCCATCGCCTTCTGACCATCAGAGCATTTTGGTTTCTTTATCATCCCGGTGTGTGTGGAAGGGTACTGTCTGCGAAAGGTCTCATCTTTTTCGAATCAAATACTATGGCAACTTTGATAAACCATTGGGCCGTTTTTTACGCGATCATTTGTTTGATCAAGTAATCTCTTTCTCTCTCACATACTCATAACTGTCCAAGTGCTTTCCTTATTAGAAACTTCATTAGCATGTATTCAGACTAAGAAACTCTTTACTTGTTTGTCAGAGTTATAGATGCCGTTCTTGCGAGATGCCATCAGAAGCCCATGTTCACTGTTACACTCATCGACAGGGTACCCTCACAATTTCTGTGAAGAAGTTGCCAGAATTTCTCTTACCTGGTGAAAGGGTAGGAAAGATTTGGATGTGGCACCGCTGCTTGAGGTGTCCACGGACTAACGGTTTCCCTCCAGCAACTCGACGAGTACTGATGTCTGATGCTGCTTGGGGTTTGTCCTTTGGGAAGTTTTTGGAGCTCAGTTTTTCAAACCATGCAGCGGCTAGCAGGGTAGCTAGCTGTGGCCATTCTCTACATAGAGACTGTCTTCGATTCTATGGGTATCCTCTTGTGCTCAACTTTTTATATACTGTAAAAATTTCTTGAGCATTATAAGCTTCCGTTCCTCCTAGTGGTAAGTACAATGAACCTAGCAACCATGTGTGGGTTGACAGATATAACGTTGTTTTGGGCATGGCGTCGTGAAACCAACCTTTTGGAGTGATTGATATAAGATTGTTTTGGTTATATGGAAACAAACCTTTTTGGATTAATGAACCATGTAGATTGACATTAACCAGCCCCACTACTCCTTTATTGGTTGGTGGTTTTATCAATATTCTTATATTTTTGGGACCTAGCTTATTTGTTGGGTGCTAATTGGAAACTACAAGAAGTATGTATCTGCTCTTCATTCTTGGACACAATGATGGAGGTTTTATGTGCCTCTCATTTCTCTTAGTTTTCACCTTTATTACATTTGCAGATTTGGGAAAATGGTTGCATGCTTTCATTATGCATCAATTGATGTTCACTCAGTCTACCTTCCTCCCCCCAAACTAGATTTCAATTATGAGAGTCAGGAGTGGATACAAAAGGAGCTTAATGAGGTGCAGTGATCACAATTTCTAGTTTTTGAATATATCAGTTGAAAACTCTCTTTGGGGGTGTGACTTAATTGTTTGAAATAAATAGGTGGTTGGTCGAGCAGAGCTTTTATTTTCTGAAGTACTCAATGCTCTTCGTCAGATGGTGGAGAAAAGATCTGACAGAGGCCCATCTAACAATGGCGTGAAAATACTTGAATCAAGGCGCCAAATAGCAGTTTTGGAAGGCATGCTACAAAAGGAGAAGGCAGAATTTGAGGTGAAGTCTTCAGTTTTATACATTTGGTTTTCTTTTCAGCCCAAATTTCACGTTTACTGTCCTAATGCTGTATTGTTTTTATCTCCTGTGCATGTACTGGGTGTTATTATACAATGAACATGCAAGTACATGAAGCAGGGGCTCGAGATGGTTGATCAATCTACTTATTTATGCGTGAACCAGTCAATAAATTGCTCATATTGGATCTAATAGACTATTCTCATTAACTGTAGAGTATTGAATGTGATAAACAAAGATGCCTCTGCCTTTCTTGTCTTCAAGTATCAACAATTCCCTCTTTCATGATTGCAATTATTGCCTTCTATCAATTGCCCCATTTTCCTTTCTTTCCTTCCCCCCCCCCCCCCCCAAAAAAATAAAGGCACCCAGCCCAACAAGGAAAAAAAAAAGTGATCCATGTGGTGACAGGATTTCATTTGTAAAATTCTTCTGTTTTGCATGATATAAAAATTTTTTTTTTTTTGGCTGGAAAACACAATTGTTGTGAAAAAATTGCTTGATCAAGGTCTGGATTTCGGAGTCAAGTTAATCTTGGTTTCTATTAAATGAGACCATTGAAGTTTCAGCTTTATGGAAATTTTCACCATTAATTTTTCTTTTGAATTTTATGGGTTCAGAGTGGACAACCTTTATGCTTCTAATATGTGGGGTCTGATGAATACCTTGACATTGGTGTAGGAATCACTTCAGAAAATTTTGAACAAGGAGGCGAAAAAGGGCCAACCTGTTATTGATATTCTAGAGATTAATCGTCTGCGAAGACAGTTACTCTTTCAATCTTATATGTGGGACCTCCGCTTGATTCATGCCGCCAGGTTAAATAGTAACAATCTTCAGGGCAATCTGAATGGGTCCAATCCAGAACATGTGAAGAAACCCGCCTCAGGTTATGAGAAGCTCATTGATATGCCCGTTAAGCCGGGCAAAGATTCAGGTAGTTTTGACTCTGTTCTTTTGGATGCAAAGCCCAATGAAAGTCATAATGATGGTGGAGGAATTGGTAGCCATGGTACACAGCCTGAACTAGTTCCTCCTGGAGTCGACACTTGTTTAGATTCAAATCCTGAAAAAGATAACCAAGCTAATCTCTCTGCTGGTATAAACATCTGTGATGAATCTGATCCTGTGGAATCCCGTGTAGTTGTTCGTAGGGCCCTCTCCAATGGTCAGGTACCTATCATAACAAGTTTGTCAGACACCCTTGATGCTGCATGGACTGGGGAAAACCACCCGGAAATTAGAATGCCAAATGATAATACATGTACATATCCTCAATCAGCTGTGGCAGATTCTTCATCCATCTTGGGAGTGGAAGAAAAGTTGGACATGGAAGACCATAGGGAAGACCAGGACAGGCCCAATGTATCCCTTTATCCTCCTGTATTGGCCACCCAAAGCTCAGATAATATGGAAGACTCTGTGAGCTGGCTGGGAATGCCCTTTATAAACTTCTATCGCTCACTGAACAAAAACTTTTTGGGGAGTGCTCAGAAATTGGATACACTGACGGAGTATAATCCAGTCTATATTTCATCATTTCGTGAGTTGGACCTCCAAGGCGGGGCAAGGTTGCTCTTGCCTGTGGGTGTTAATGACGTAGTTGTCCCCGTCTATGATGATGAGCCCACAAGTATCATATCTTATGCCCTGATTTCGCCTGATTATCTTGCCCAACTGTCCGATGAGTTTGAAAGACCAAAAGACAATGGCGACTCTACATACCCATTACAGTTTCTTGATTCAGGGAATTTCCAGTCCTCCCATTCACTTGATGAAATGGCTTTGGAATCTTACAGAAGTCTTGGATCTACAGATGAGAACATCTTATCTATGTCTGGGTCTCGTAGCTCCCTGGTTTTGGATCCAGTTTCATATATGAAGACTTTGCATCCTAGAGTTTCTTTTGCAGATGAAGGACCCCTTGGTAAGGTGAAATATACAGTGACTTGTTACCACGCAAAGCAGTTTGAAGCCTTGAGGAGGATATGTTGCCCATCCGAGATGGATTTCATAAGGTCTCTTAGCCGTTGCAAGAAGTGGGGAGCCCAAGGTGGCAAGAGCAATGTTTTCTTTGCAAAAACCTTAGATGATCGGTTTGTAATCAAACAGGTCACAAAGACAGAGCTGGAATCATTCATAAAGTTTGCTCCCGGATATTTTAAGTATCTATCTGAATCAATTGGCACTGGAAGCACAACATGCATGGCAAAGATTCTGGGGATTTATCAGGTATGTTTTCAGGAACTGGAGTGTTAATTGGACTAATTAATATAGTGCATACTGACTAAACAGTTTGCCATGTCCAAGCACCTGAGTCAAAAGGCTGATATACTTGCTTTGAATCTCGTCTTAATTGGTGCATGCTTACCTAATTGTTTTAAGTAGCAAGACATAATAAGGATTCTACATGACTTAGCCGCAAAAAAATAAAAAAGGATTCTATGTGATAATGGATGCGTAAGAACAAGGATTAAATTTCGTTTCAGTGCATGGTTTCGATGAACTTGTAAACGGAAACTTTCCAATAATATTTTGGAAATATTTTGAAAACAGAATGGAAAAAAAAAAATTGAAATTCATTTCCAAAACATCCTGAAACACCTCGAGATAAAAACATGGGATTGTGTATACAATCACTGATTCGTTTTGGTCTAACGAAACGGAATTTGCACCCATGCACAAGATGTTGCTTATGTGCATAATGAGAATTTATTTTTATTCTTTACTTTTGTGCCTGAAAATTTTTTATGCCTCCCTAGAAATAAGTCGATCTTGGATAATCAATTTGATGTTTGCTATAACATTTCATTCTCCTTGATAAGTTATTAATGCTTGCCATGGATGATAATAAGTGCTTTGGAATTTAAAGAATTTGTTGAAGTAAGAATTTTGTCGGTATCTGGGTACGTAGGTAATTTGCATCATTACCATCTGTCTTGGATGCGGCTGGCACTGTGTTCCTAAGCAAGATTTAGCAGCTGGGTAATGGTGATTTCAATGTAAAGGAACTGTGCTCCATTTTCTCTCTAATCCAATATTCAGTCCGTATTGCTGATGAATCATCTAATTGTTATTGATTTTTAGGTGGTAATATATCTCCAATTTGATATTCAAGAATCAAGACATCTTTAGATTGATTTGCAATATCCTTGAATAGAACAAATATATTCGTAACAGTTGTGAAGACTGGAAAATTTAGAACCAAACTATTTTGTCGACCAGATTCTTGCATATTATCATTTTGGGTGTCTAAGTTTGTTGTTAACATTGCAATATGGTCCTCTATTTTCATCATGGAGCTTCCAGCACAATGTGTCTTTGAATAGTTAATTATAGCTGTATAAGTACATTCGGCAGTTTTTGCATCTGTGTAATAGTGGATATCTTTTACTCTGATTCATGTGTGTCAAAATATGTGTATCATTTTTAACTTGCAACACTTTTGAGACTTTACATTTTTGTTGGCTTTATGTCTGAAGGTCACATCAAAATATCTGAAAGGAGGAAAGGAATCAAAAATGGATGTGCTAGTTATGGAGAATCTTCTGTTTGGAAGGAATCTGACACGGCTTTATGATCTCAAAGGATCTTCCCGGTCACGGTATAATGCAGATTGTAGTGGAAATAATAAGGTTCTCCTGGATCAGAACTTGATTGCAGCAATGCCAACATCTCCCATATTTGTTGGAAACAAGGCAAAGCGATTGTTGGAAAGAGCTGTCTGGAATGATACTGCTTTTCTTGCGGTAAGTTTTGCGACTTGCTCTAGACACTACGACCTTAAAAAGTTTTGTTTCTACATCATGGTTTGTGCAAAGACACTCAGGACTAAGCTTTTGCGAAAACTTAGGCACTTAATAATGAGATAGAAATTGCATATGTTTGTGTTTCTTCATTTATTCATTTATTAAAACTTGTAATATGCTGAAGTATTTTGATGAGTTTGTTTTTGCAAGAGGTTTTCGTTGTTTGTGAGGCATCATGAAGTGGGCTGTTCCCAATCAATTGTGTGATGGATTATTCATTACAGGTTGGGGGTGGATGAAGAGAAGCATGAATGTGTTCTTGCGATTATTAGTTAATACTTTGTTAATTTTGCTCTTGCAGTCAATTGATGTGATGGATTATTCATTATGGGTTGTGGTGGATGAAGAGAAGCATGAACTTGTTCTTGTGATTATTAGCTGTTGCTTTTGTTAATTTTGCTCTTGCAGTCAATTGTTGCAAAGGATTGTTTGTTACGGGTTGGGGGTGGATGAAGAGAAACATGAACTTGTTCTTGCAATTATTAGTTAATACTTTGTTAGTTTGCTCTTGCAGTCAATTGATGTGATGGATTATTCATTACTGGTGGGAGTGGATGAGGAGAAGCATGAACTTGTTCTAGGGATTATTGATTTCATGAGACAATATACATGGGACAAGCACCTTGAGACATGGGTGAAGGCTTCTGGCATCCTCGGTGGACCTAAGAACACATCTCCGACAGTAATCTCACCCAAGCAATACAAGAAAAGGTTCCGGAAAGCCATGACTACCTATTTTCTGATGGTACCAGATCAGTGGTCACTTCCCACTATCATTCCAAGTAAGTCGCAGGCTGATTTATGTGACGAGAATACTCTAGGTGGGACCTCAGTTGAGTGATACTGTATATTGTTGTGCCTCTATAACTTTGAAAGTGTAGTAGATTAGTTGTCCCCATCAGTTTTCCTTTTCATATAATTTTCCTCCTCCTCCCCCCTCTCTTGTTTTCCTTTTCTTGATTCTTTTTGGTTAGAAGTCACATTATTTGGCAGTAGATGCAGAACAAGGCTGTCAAAAGCCATGAAAATATCTTAGGGGTACAAATATTAGGTGATCTCCCCCACAAGATTTTGTACAATACTTTTTCCCTGTATTTAGCAGTTCAATATGTAAATGAATTACAACAATGCAATTGCATTTCTATTTTGTATTATATCTGACATTTTTAAGCATCAAACTGTACGATAAAGTTAATCCTTTTTGCTTCTTGTTTGTATAGAGTTTAAGTTGATCAGGGTGATGGTGGAATGAATGAACTTTTGTTATTCAAATTAGGTAAGAATGGAAGCTTGATCAACAGTTGAAGGCTTCATAGTCAATGCTTTTAGAAAAAAAAAGTTGGTAGATTTTCTTGGATGAGTATTTCTGTTGGATGAATCCGTTGACAGAAACCAGAAATCATCATGTAATGCCAATAATAACCGGCTGTTATGTAGTCCAAACTCCTCTTCGCTGGACTCCATGTTTCCCATTTTTGCATATGATGTCCAATTGGTTTTCCTTAAAGCGACACCAGGTTTAAACTCCTAACCCATGTTAATTTGAAACGAATCCTTATTTGACTGGATCAATTCATGTGCGAGCTCACACGTGCCCCCGTTGATCATGTGCGAGCTCACATGTGCCCCCGTTGATTTTTGTTATCTGGGGATGAGGTCGTGTTTGCCTTATTTGAGTCAAAAGTCAGAGGGGACAGAGGTTTGTGAATGTTAACTGAAAGTTCCCATTGTCAATCTCTGTTAAAATGGGGAGGGATTAGTTCCATTTTTGCCATGGTTGAAAGTTAAAGCACAGTTGCTGCAGGATAGAACTTAGCATTTAACAGGAACTCAGAATGTGATTATAAGACAACTGGAAAGCGCTCTCTTTATGCTTATTATTTACATTAATTCATTGGAAGGAAAACCCTGCTTTTGCAGATTAGTGGAGACAAACTTGAATACATACAGATTATTGCCTGATGGTCAGCATTTATCAGAAGAATGGGTTGAACCCATTTTGGTTGAAACCTGTTTGCCCACCAACACCTTCTTCAGCACTTTCAATTTGATCACTACTATCAGTAACTTGAAGCCAACATCTTTGAAGAAGATCAATGATCTCAGCATCTCTGGACATTTCAAGTCACAAGTTACAACATCACTCATACAGATTTTATTTTGACACCAATATGGAACGCTACTGTGGCCCATGGACAAGTTTTGAGCTATTTTGTATATTTTTTTCGGATAATCAATCTACTTATCAGAAAAATGTATGGCATGGTATGTGACAGGATAATTCACCTTGTATTACAAGCCACTATCGAAAACTGTTGGTGGAGACGAGGGCCCTCGTCGAATCCTTCACACGTTATCTCCCCATTATCATCCCGATAGCAAACGACTCCCTTGGAATGATCTTCAAAAACCTAAAAAATTGTGTAGGCATTAGAAATTGATCATTTTATGGACGAACCATTCTTTGAATTTGTGGATACCGAAAAATTTGATACCTGGGTTGTGTTCTGTTGCTAAAAATAGCCCTTTTTGGGGTACAGTTGCTATATATCATAGAATTCAATTCTGCCTTCAAGCAAATAGAAATTGAATCGAAAGACAAGGTTATATGAGTATATGAGACTAACCTTGATCTTGCAAGATGACCTGAACTGAAGTAGAGATGTATTCTTGTCTGAGACATGACTCTGTGCAAGCATCAAGGCTCTACGCACAGGCTTTTTGATTGAACTAGAATTCTGAATCATGAGAGTAGGTGAAGGATAACATCTTACAGCCATTGATCCGATGCTGACGGAGAAAAGAAGAATGATAACGAGGTGGTTGTGTTTCTGTGTTATGGGTGTTGAATGGTTGTGGTTTATATTGGCATAAAGAGTAATGTTGTGGGTGTAAGTTGTTTGTTGTCTTTGAAGTTAAAAGTAGGTATTAGATGCCAATGTCTTATCATATAATACATTATACAGGTAAATGTAGGATAGGTGGGCTCCATTAGCTTATCTTCTATGATTTTATACTGCTGAATGCTCCTTCATCTGGTTGGTTGGTGCAAAGAACTTCCTATGAGTACATGATTAAGAGTTTGGTGGGACTAATATAAACAGTCCATTGATTCTCTCTTTCTATGCGTGGCAAACTTCAGGTGGTGTCGGCCTATTTTCTACTCTTTTTTAATATTATTTTTGTTTTGCTATTGCTATTATCGCTACTCTTTTTTTAATATGAGTAAGAAGCTACAAGATAATCTTGCAGCAAGACTCTCCGTTAGCAATCAAAGTCAATGATGTGTGAAATATGTCTACGCCAAATATTTTACTATTCAATTTTTGGCTTTTGGATGCAACCAGAAGCTATTATGTCATTTCCAATCAAAGGCATTGCGGCAAGCTTGAGCCATGAACCTAGGAATTCTTGTTGCAAATACCATAGAGATAGGAAATGCCATGGTGTTTCACATACATTTAAGCCCGATTTCCAATGGGACCTTATCTCTCAATCAAAGATTTGTACTTCAAACCTTGCCAGGATTGAATTGAACTTCTGCATTTAGTGTCCATCTATGCGACCATTGTAAGAGGAATTGAATTCTGTTGTTGGTTCATCCATGAAGGTGCCTTTGTAAGCTTCCAGCCAACATTCTGTCAGGAACATCACACAACTTGTTTCAAACAATGTAATGGATAAACAAAGGCATTACAACCAACAAGAAGCTTCCCTTGAAGAGTTCAACAAAAGTAAATGATTTGGAAATCCAATTCATATCCAGATATCCCAGTTTCCTACCAGTCCATACATTCTTCCAACTTCTCCCTAGGTTACTTTCTCAAGCCAAGGAACTATATTTTGAAAATGTTAGTAGCATTTCACAAAAAGCAACAACTCAACATAAATTCCAACTGAGTTTGAGTATCCCCAAATCAATAAATCCTTTTCGATCTCTCAAGCCCCAACTACCTTGATGGTCCATCCTCATATGCGTCTATCGGGGTAATGAACAATGCTACGATTGTTGCTATGCTTGATTAGTGTTGGATTGGCACAGCAAAAGTGACATGGTGTAGTGAAGTTTACTCCTTTGCCCTGAGAAATTGCAAAGCACGCACCTACTTTCTGAACATGAGTGGAATCAACATGATGCGGAAAAGATCATTGACACGAGTGAAAAGAGATTGAAGGGTTCATTGAATTTGGCCTTAGTAAAGGGTTTTGTCCATTTTATTGATAATGAAAAACAATTCAAATGCAACTTGGCTTGGGCATGCCCCGGAGCAGGGGCGGCCAACCTAGTTTGGGCCCCGACAAAAATGTTATATGGGTCGTATAAATATTTATTTAATAATAATAATATTAAATACTTATTAAAATATGTTTATTTATAAATTATTTGTTTTGCCTTTTGAAATATAACATATTAATTCAAATTTTAAAATTTTACAAATAAAAATTGTATTAATCGAAGTCAAATATGAAGATCAAATATAATGATAAATACTATTTGTTTAAGATAAAAGAGAAACATAATTGAAAAATTATAGTCATTTTGTGCATTAAACAAACTTATTAAAAAATGACCTCAAATTTAATTTATATAAATATAAAATTATTATTCATATCTATTATACGATAGACAATATATTTTAATAATAAGACTGTAAAGTGATAATATATATAATATAAATATTGGGTGAGATAAAAAAATAAGTTAAATTTTAGGGCCTTAATTTTTTTTAAAAGAGGTTCTAAAATTTTTACAATAATGCTAGTTGCATTTAATGAGGACCAAGTACATTAGATTAATAGTGAATTTTGTTTAAAGTTAATACTTACTATTAATTCAATAATTAAAATATATTGAGTATTTAAATTATATTCTAAAATTTTAATTATTTATCATTGTTTATTTTATTTTGGGGCCCCAAATTTTTCTTTCAATTTGGAGGCCCTAGGCGATGGCCTAAGTGGCCTAAAGGGTGGGGGGCTGCCCTGTTCCGGAGGAATTGACATGTTTTGAACTTCTGAGAATGTATATCTTAAAGGGTGAAACAACGGTTATTAATACGAGTAATATTGTTTAGATACACTGCTTGCTTCACACTCATCTCCCTACAATGGAATACAAAAGATAAGCGTAATAAAAGTGGACATATTAGAATCGGGAAAGATTAATACAATAATCGAAAGGTTATATGGCAATGTTAAACTCAACTATTAGAACTTTGTTGACACTATGTTCACGTCTACATCTTTCTCCTCATTTGATTGTTTTCTGGTGTTCTTCAGTAGAATTGTTGCTCGAAGTTTATAGTCAACACATAGTTTCATTTAATTTATTAAGTTGAAAATCCAAAAAATGAGATTAAATTTGGAAGAGTAGTTGATAAGGAGGAGGATGATGTACGAATTTACAAAATAGAATTTGATAAATTTGATGAATGAGGAGCTAACGTTTTGAGAATTAAAAATTCTTTTTAATATGAAAGCAGTGGAGTTTGAATTTTCCCTCCATAGGTTTTTTTTCTCAAATTGAGTGTTTTTTAGTGTGTTCTCTGTGTGTGCAGAGAACCTTATTTATAAGGAAAGATATATCAGCAAGTCGTTACCATTCTAGCATAATATCCTCAACTCCCTCCATATTTTCTCAACTCGACCAAAATTTCCTTAACCTTTTACAGTTAAATAAGGCTAATTATACTCCGAGTAGGATTGATTGGTCTTTTACTACTTGATAGGTCACTCTAGCTAAGTTATCCATACTAACTAGAAAAGATTTAATTCAAACATTCAATTATATCAATGTAATATATGTATGCATGTATTATTATAAAATAATATTTAATGTATAATAATTTCGATGCATTAAATATTTGACATCCGACAATTGTTCATAGAAAAGCTGAGGAATGGAGAGCAGCAGCCCACAGCTTCAACACGCTGAGGCTGAGCACATCTAGAGGGCCACTGGCACCATCAATTATTGGCAGTACATGATGCAAAAGAAAGTCCAGATTAATAACAAGTAGTAATCACTTACCCCGTATTGGGCCTATGCTAATGTCCCAGATTAATACGAATCAGTAAGTAGTTAACTGAATATTGGGCCTCAAAATCATAATCTATTCAAATCTACTCATGGCCTCGGAGTTTTGGGATGTAAGTAAACTGACCCAATAAACCCAACCGGGTTTCTACCCGAATGGCCGTCCCCTCCCATTGCTGCCTTGCTTCACAACAAGAAGGGGTTACAAAAAGCAGCATAAGAAGAAGAATTGCAAAAACAACAAATTGCAGCAGAATTTCTTCTTTCTCCAATCCCAAAGCTTTTCGTTTAGCTTAACTATAATAGCAGGTAGACTACATCACTAACTCGGACGCACACTTTGATTTATGACCTGTTTTGAGACCACCAATCGAACTGTGGAACCGTAAAGAGTATTTGTTGCTAATCTTGCTCTAATTTCATTTTGCTGGTGTATACTTTGTTATTTGCTGCAGATCTTTTAAGCTTTTAGTTATCCAATCGACAATGTTTCTCACCAGGTTAGTACATTTGACTAAAATTCTTGGGCTTTACTTTTTCAACCCCTTGAGATCGATGCATATATTATTTCTGTTTTTATTGTTCTTTCCATTATATTTTTCTTTTTCAGGACTGAGTACGATAGAGGTGTCAACACCTTCTCGCCAGAAGGTCGATTGTTTCAGGTTGAATATGCCATTGAGGCTATCAAGGTAATCTCTTCTCTTACATTGTAGTTGATATATATGTTTCTATTCTTTTGATTTTGTTGTTTTGAATGTTGGGATATTGTTTGGTTTTTTATAATTGTTGTTGCAGCTTGGTTCGACGGCAATTGGGTTAAAAACTAAGGAAGGAATTGTGCTTGCAGTTGAAAAGCGAATTACATCACCACTTCTGGTCTGCTTGCTTTTTCTTTTGTTTTTTTGTTTTTTTTCTTGAGGGGTGGAGGAAGGTTTCCCGTTTCATCCTATATTGCCTTCATTTTCTGTTTCTATTGATTTCGACGTAAATGCCTGCCCCACAGTTGGAGCACATATTCTGCTTAGTGTTGATATTGTGTTTTGATGGTTGAATTGACTGAATTATGTCAAGTGTATTATTAATTGATTCAAACGTTTCTGAATTTGTTGGAAATTAATGCAAATATGATTAGATGACATAGTTGAAGTTATGCTTGACGGTTTGGAATTTGGGGTTGAATTTGCTAGGTATGGAGTTTCTAGGTAAATTCAATTTGAATTAATGGGCTGTCGATATGGACCATATGGTAAGACTGAAACAAGAATGAGAAAGTGGCCGAGTCAAGAAGAATAGTAATCTTCTAAACCATTATCATTGACTGAGTTACTATGTGATTATTAATACGACTGACTGGATAAGAATAAACAGATACTATTACATATATAGGATTGCAATAACTTAATTATGGAAATAGGGAACTTAAGAAGAAGAAGATGATAGTATTGCAACGGCTATGCTAGTGTACTGGATGGAGGATTGTATGGCATAAGAGAAGAGGTCGTCTGCTATTGCTTATGATTATTCATCTGTTCACCATGTCAGTGCAATTGCTTTTCATATTAGAAAACTACTTCTTCGTTGCTGGTCGGGAACCTCAGCTGTGTTCTATTGTCAAATGAATGCTTTTGTTGATAGTGAAAATCTAGAGGGGTTGCCAATTTTCATTTGTTTTATCTGTTGATGCTCTTTTAGGAGCCTAGCAGTGTGGAAAAAATTATGGAAATTGATGAGCATATTGGGTGTGCAATGAGTGGATTAATAGCTGATGCCCGAACACTCGTTGAACATGCACGAGTTGAAACTCAGGTATCCGTAACTATCGATTTTTTCATTTTCTTATGTTTTCCCCCCATCAAGTTAAAAAAAAAAAAAAAAAGAGTAAGTCATTTTTTTCCTTTTCTTTGCCAAGCATTTGTGTGATACTGGTCAATACTGATTGTTCAATGCTAATTTCTGTAGAATCATAGGTTCTCATACGGTGAGCCCATGACTGTCGAGTCTACAACACAAGCCCTGTGTGATCTAGCCCTGAGATTTGGTGAGGGGGATGAAGAATCTATGGTTAGCTGCTTCTCTCTCTGATACAAAAAGTTCCTTTCAGTTTCTTCTGCACTACCATAATTATCGCATTTTTGGTGTCGAACTACGAAACTCATGCATCCTTTCCAAGCCGTATGTTGTGTCTACAGTAGTGATTTGGTTTGAGAATTGAGATCCATTTTGCTGGAAGATTATTAGCAGTTCACTACCAAATGACATCCCTGCTTTTTCTTTGTAAATGACAATAGGACCAAGACTATGATCTAATTACTTAGCCGCACCTAGTTCTAATACCTTGGGCCACTGAGTTGAACCAACTTACATTTCAGAGGCTGTAAACAACCTCACTGTTCATATCAAAAGTTGGCAAGGATTGTGCCTGAATACATTCAGTTTCCCCTTTGGAGGCTCAGACCCTGAAGAGGTTGCCAAAAATCCAAGCACAGAACTTTCATGAACGCGATTCTCTGTGCATTTTTAGGTTAGCATCTGGGTGAGACTGTAAGAGGCTTTAGGCTGGACCTGCTAGATTCACTTTAGGGTATCCAAGAGGTTTTTCGACTGCAAAATTTGTTTTTGACCTTTAGTATTTGTAATTGGATCCTCCAGGGCAGTAAAACAGCTCAGCCAAGTAATTTAGCTGTTCAAGCTTGGCTCAGTGTGAATCAATCATAAACTTGATAAACTTTAGTTTTCTAAACTTCAGCTTGTTTAGAGCTTTAGCCAATCTTGTTATGTAACCTATGTAACACTTGTTCTTTAAAAAAAAAGATCATGACCCAATGTGCTCTCCACTAACTGGGAGTTCGGAGAAGTGGTGAACTAGATGAAACCTTTGGTGTACAATTACTTTGTTTAGCAAGAAGTTAGTGATTAGGAATTGCACAATTACTTTGTATATATAAAGAAAAAAAAAAACTCAACATAAGTTTCCTATGCAAACATGCAGCACAAAAAAACCAACAGTTTATTGCACTAACCGAGCAGTGTGTACACTCGTGCAAGCTTGATGTGTTAAGCAGTTAACTTGGAACTTACCTGGCATGTGTAATTGGTAAGGCCTAGTTTCAACCAAACCTCATATTGTTCATGAGCATTTTGCTTAATTTGTCGTGCCCGGTGCATTAATATGAGGGTTACATAGATAATTCAGTCATCTTACGTAAAACCCAATTACTGATATTAAAGCTGGCTGAATAAGAAAACTGGGAGGTACAAATGAAGTAAACCTTTAACTTGGCAAATTGATTTTCATTCCCATCCATGATATTATATTATGAAGTTATTTGTGATATGCGATCATTTTGTTGGGAATTCGTGTCCTGTGCTCGTCATCTTTCTTGACCTTGGTCATTCTACAACACATCATTCTGTTCAATTTTGCACTCTGTGTGGTAAAAGATTTTGGATTCCTTGTTTACTGGTTTTCTAACTTGTGACATCTTTGTTTCGGTGCAGTCCCGACCTTTTGGGGTCTCTCTTCTTATTGCTGGCCATGATGAGAACGGTCCCAGCTTGTAAGTACTCATTTGTTGTAGAATGCTATTTATTTTTGACATTTGACACCAAGCGGAAAAACTTTTGGTATGTAGATACTATACAGACCCATCTGGCACATTCTGGCAATGCAATGCGAAAGCTATTGGTTCGGGTTCTGAGGGTGCTGACAGCTCTTTGCAGGAGCAATATAACAAGGTATCCCTACAATTTCCCTTCTTGGAACAAATATGATTGGTGGTTTTATTATTTTTGAATGTGTTTGCAGTGAAGTAGCCCTTGCCCAATTGTCATTTGTTCGATCTCTACCAGTCATCAAAAAACAAATTTAGCCTAACTCCGTCATATCGTGTTTAGTGTTTATCATTTACATAATCGGGTCCAAGCAGATGAAGATGGAGGAGGGTTGCGTTAGGTAGCGCTAACGGCGTAAAACTACTTGTCAGATCTCTTACGAATCCTGAAAATATAAGTTAATGGTAACATGAGGGATAGAGGGAGACCGAAATTAACTTTAAATTGGATAGTAAGAAATATATGATAGCCATGTAGTTTAATATGAAATATGGCTCCTAATACTAATAGAGTACAATGGGAAAGCAGGATTTGTGTCAGTGATCCCAAATAGCTGAAGTTAGACTTTGTTAAGTAAAGTAGAAATACAAACCTAGCCTAGTACAAATCAACCATTTACGGCTATACTGTTGATGACTTGGTGCCATTATATATAAGACCATTTTAGATTTTATTGTACCTACAAAAGTTTGTGTCCATGGCTAGATGTTTAACTTTTGCCATTTCATACCTGCAAATATGCAATTTTGAAAATGTTTTTCTCAGTTTCTGTTATCTTTTAAGTGGCAACTGATTCCGTTTAATGGTTTATTTGCAGGATTTGACACTTAAAGAAGCTGAAACAATTGCTCTTTCCATCCTTAAGCAAGTTATGGAAGAAAAGGTAAGCTTCTCTATGGCACAATCTGCATTTTGGGTTGTACGCTGTGCAAACTGATTACTTGTGTTCCCCTGAAATGCCCTGCTATCTCTTGTTTTATGATCTCAGGTAACACCAAACAACGTTGATATTGCAAAGGTCGCTCCGGCTTACCATCTGTATAGCCCTTCTGAGGTGGAGGCTGTCATCAGTCGCCTATAAAAAGAGTACTCTGTCAAGAAGTTTTGTGCTTTGATTTGGAGTCCCATAATTGCTATGCCTGCGTGCATTTTGTATTAGATTGATCGGATTATATTTTCCATTAGCTCAGGTATTTCAACCAGTAATTTTTTTTATGCCAGACTTAAATCATGTCACTTCAGTTAAATTGATCCATGGATTTTTTTTGCATGAATGAATTTGAAACTTGAAGTTAGATCCTTTGAACTGTTTGATGGCCATACTACCTATGGGATTGATTTTTTTTACTTAGGGGAAGCGGAAATTGCATACATTCTTACGGGGGCAAAACATCTTTGAATTCATTGCATAACTGAATTTGTCAGAGAGAAAGAGGAATGAATTGAGAAATCTCAAAAAGAAAATTAAAAATTCTGGCGAGTATGTCCAAAATATATGGCCATGTTTGCTTATCATTTTAGAAACAATTTTTTGTTCTCAAAATTTTAAAAATACCCAAAATCTGTTTGTTTAGCATTTTTGTTCTCTAAATTTTAGAAAAAAAATGAAATTTAAGTCAAAGAAACAAAAAATAAGTGCACCTTATTTTCAGAGTTTTTTTTGAAAATTTTGAAAATAAAAAGAACAATACGTATATGTATAAATATAAATAAATAAATAAATAAATATATATATATATATATAAAATAGGAATGTGTTTAAATTTTATCTCAGTCATATTTTTTCCCTCAAAATCATTACCAATCACTTACCTTACCCATCATCCTTTTGTCAGACTCAAACTTCAAATCGCATCACTTATTTCTATCATATGTTTAATAATTTATATTTTTTTCCTAAAAATATCACATCACTTCTTTGTATCTTATAGTTAATCATTTAATATTTGATTAATTTTGTAGTTAATATATTTTGCAAAAAAATTAATATAATGAGATCGATTTTTTAGACGCTTGAATTTTATATTTTATTATGTCTTCAAGCACGGGTTATGACTAGTGTATATATTTATTATATATATAAATACGTGTATATATATATATATATACATATATATATATTGTGTGTGAGGGGTATTTATATATTTTAAAGTTTAGTTTATTGAATTTTTTTTATACTTTTTTATTAATGTTGAAATTACTTTTTAAATATATATTTAGGCTGTCAAAACAAGTTTAACTATTTTCTATATTTTGAAATTATCTAAACAAACAAATTTTTTATTTCAAAAAATATCAAAACTATTTTCTTAAAACTTTTCTTAAAAATTATTTTCGAATACTATTTTTTAAAACACAAACCAAACAAGTCCAACGTATCTAATGTGTCGATTTGAATGGAATGGAGGATAGTTGTCTGTATAGCGTCGGCTAACATTGAGGGAGTGACCATTATGGCAGGGCCGCAAAGATCATAAGCACCTCATGTGGCTCTCTCTCTTCTGTCCAAATTGATTTTTTTTTTTAAAAAAAAAACAAGGATCTGTCTTGATGCAATGAGCAACATGTCTCCTCCCGTAGCCTTTCAGCTCATGAGGATCAACACAATCATCGTCCTATGTATCCTAGTAACGTCCTCAGCACACCAGCATTTTTTTTTTTTTTATTATTTTCGTTTTATTTTCTTTTGTCAGGGATAGAGTGTGGCACTGCTTGTGGGGATGGTTGAATAGAGAGTAGGGATTCATGACAAATAGATTTGGAAGATAAAAGAATCTCTATACCAAAAAGGTCGCGAAAAGATATAAAATTTGAACCCAAGTGGAATATGCATGGCAAGGCTGAGATTAACCACAAAAGAAAATCCTTGACAACGTAAGAAACCAGATTTTGCAAACAATGTCCCTTGTTAATGCCAGAAATCTGACCAGTTTTCGAAGCCTAACCCACGAGAATTTCAACTGAACACCCAAACAAGAAGATCAGAAACCTGACCCCTTGGATTTTGCATGCGCTAAGGTTCAAAGAAATCAAGTAGAGTGAGGAGAGTTAACATCTTTTACAGGCAACACAATGAGATCCTCCACCTCACCTTGTACGCCTACAAATTGGAATGGCTATGCTTATTCAAAACTTTTAGCAGTGTTCAGATATGATGCGAATGGCAAGATTCCTCAGTCACGAAATTCATTCATAAATCCCTTGTGAAATTCTGTCAAACGAGTGACGATGGCTGGAATCTTATCCTCTTGAGGCAATATTGTGCACCTAAAATGCCAAGTTCCAGGGACCTTTCATAAAACACCAAATCACAAACATGAATGATCAGTAAAACTAGAAAAAAGGAAGAAAAGACTTAAATCAGCCTAAATGACACCCTATCCAACAGAACAATATGAGCATTTTCAAATATTAGAACACATACTAACTTCCAGAGAAGCAGCATCTATAATTTGCTAAACTATCACAGATGTTTGAAGTGTTGATATCACTCCAATCAGATGATAATGTCTAACCAATTCTTTCAAACTTATGTCTGCGTTAATTTCAAACCCCTCTAAAGGGAGGACGCTTATGACCATCTGTGTTGCTTAACATTTGAACAAAATCAGTTCCAGTTGGAAATAGCAGATTACGACATTAAGCTGATATATTGACGCAAACATGGTGATTATTGCGCAATGCTACCAATATAACTCACCTGCCCAAAGCCAGACCCAGGAACCACAACAATTCCAGTGGCTTTAAGAAGGCGGCTAGCATAGAATGCATCTGGCGCCATTTTTGCTGCTTCTGCTGCTTTTACAGCATTCTGTGGGAGGTTAATACGCGGAAAAAGATACATTGCTCCTTCTGCTTTATTGCATGTTACACCTTCCAAACTATTTAATGCGCCTTCAAGTGTCTGGTCACAGAACAAATGATAACCAATGATATTTGATAGAACAAAGGCAGCAAAGTTAATTTTGACAAAGATTAATGTGAATGTAACTCGGCAAACAGGCCTGAGAAATGTAGTCATATTGCTGCTATAAGAAATCATCGATTCATTACAACATAAAACCATCATTTTTTAAAGAGTTGTGGAATTTCTTTAAAGAAAAGTTTCGCCTTTCTAATGAAACAAATATTCAGATGGGTTGCTCTTACTCTCCATTATTGCTGTACAAAAAGCACCAACACCTCAATTAGGTGCATCTATCTATTACTAATTGTTGGTCCTTTCAGCAATGTTCTTTTCACTATAAAATACAAACTTATCAATTTCTTCGAGCCATTGAATAAGATTTGTTATTTTTACTAACCTTAGCGCGCCTCGCTAGGGATGAGAGGATTCCATCTTTCTCTGCAGAATAGGACTCGTGTGATTCATCTCCAACCTGCACACATCCATAGAAGTATATGCATTGCAGTATATGACATACAGTAGTTTATATGATATTTGAAACTGTACTTACACACACCTATGCTGTAAATGAATTTCAAAGCAGCTTAATAATACCAAATAATTTAGTGCTCCAATGTCACAAGATAACAATTGAAATTGTCGAGTAGTATTCTACTCATCCATTATACAGTGGTCAATCATTGAAAAAACAATAGTAACTCGGAAACACTGACCTTCTAGACAAAACTGGTGGTCAGCCAAGCTCAAGCATACAAGCATGTTAGACAAGTTAAGAGTGGACAATTTCTTATCAAAAGTCTTATCTACCTACCAGCTTTTTCTAGCTAAATCCAACTTCACAAAATGTAAGCCTGTTTAACTCCAAGAAAAAAGAAAATCTTAAAAAAAAATACGTCTTTCAAAGAGAGAAAAATTAACCTTGGGAGGATTCATGACAAGGCTTGAAAGAATTTGACCAGATAGATTTGAACAAAGATTTACTGACGCCAATTTGTAGATTTGTTCTCTTATCTCAGGACTAAAACCGGTGATCTCCATGTAACCTCCTCTTTTTCCACACTCCCCATAAAAACCTGACTCCCACAAACAACAAAAAAATCATCAAATTACACACTATAATTTTCATCTATTAATAATTTGATTGACAGGCCAACATACCTTTAGAGACTGACTGAAAAGACACCAAGGAGACATCCTTCTCACCGTATCCCATAGACCGGGAAATTTTCTTAAATGAGTGAAATTTCTTTTCAGGGACATAAACATTTTCCTGGTATACCTGTAAATTTTCACCAAATATTAGCAAAGCGCCATAACAGTTGAAAATTTAACACAATTAATCACACTCAGAGCATAGTATGTGATGAATATGCTACTAAATACAAAGTCAAAACCCAATAACCTCAACTTCAATTCAAGTTGTGGACGTTTCCATTGGAGCCAAATTCTTTGTGGCATTTAGTGATCAAAAGCAAATATGGTTTACAGGCCAGCGGATGGGACACTAATAGAGTTGAGAGGGCAAGTTTTTGCTATCAGTTTTCCCTAGAGTTGAGATTTGTAGTGGGTGATGGGGGGAGAACCCATTTTTAGGAGGATGCTTGGGTGGGGGAGTTATCTTTTTCATTTTATGTATCTATGTCTCTATCAACTAGCTTATTATTGGGGTGTTTCTATTGTTTCTGTGTTAAGGTCTTCTAACCATCCTTACTCTTGGGATTTAGGATTCCGTAAGAATATTGGAGATAGAGACATTGGGGATTTCACTTCATTTCATGATATCCTAAATAGTTGTTTATCGAGTAATGTGAAAAGAGGGTGGGTGCTTGAACCGTCTTGTGTATTTTCTTGTAAATCCTATTTTAACTCTTTGTTGAATCAATATTTTTGTCCTATTTTTACCCCTGCCTTGATGATATAGAAGGCTAAAGTAAAAGCTTTTGCATGGAATGCTGCACATGAAAAACTTAAAAATTATGATATGCTTCAAAAAAGAAGACCTCACAGTTATTTTTTGCATCAGTGGTGTTTGATGTGTAAAGATGATTGTGAAAATATATATCACTTATTTTTGCATTGCCCTGTTGATTTGACTGTGTGGCACAAACTGTTTCAAGTGGCAGATTTGAGCTGGGTGCTTCCTTTATCATCTATATCTTTGTTTATTGAAGATATGAAAGGCTTTGGGAGGTTCAATAAAGGTGTAACTCTTTATAATTGTGCTATTATTGCTAATTTTTGGGTTATTTGGAAGGAAAGAAATGTAAGAATCTTTGAAGATCGATATGAATCTTCGGATGGTTTGTGGGATTGTATTCATTTCTTAGCTTCATTTTGGGCTTCAATTTCTAAGGATTTTGAAGGAATCCCACTTTTTGGAATCTTAGTGGGATGAAGAGAAATTAGTGACTTATAGGCTTTTTTTGTAACTTTATTTCTCTCGTTGTTTTCTTTTCTTATTGGTTGGATTTCTTATCCAACCTTTTTGATGTAACTTTTATTTCTTAATCATAAAAAAAGTGTTTGGTTTCTTATCAAAAATAAATAAATAAAGATCCTAAAATCTTCCAATGTAAGCTCAAGTATCCTGTAAAATGAGGCTAAACAATCAGGATACCTCATCTGCCAAAAGAACAAGACCTTCTCTCTTGCAGAATTCAACGATTTCCCGCTGGTTGTCCTCAGCAACAACCTGCAGGTATACAAGTCAAGATAATTAAATGATAAAACATGGTTCTACTTCTGACCCATAACCATACAAATGTGTTCCATGAAAACAGCCTCCTATGAATGAAACCCATTATTTTGCCTTTAAGCAACTGTTGAAATGTGATCATTGTTTACCTGTCCTGTTGGGTTGCCCGGATTTATAACAACCAAGGCCCTAACAGTGATGCCCTTGGACTTGGCAGCTTCCAATTGCTGTTTGAGCTCAGAAATCTCCAATCCCCAACCTGCTGCTTCATCAAGATAGTAAGGAACCTGGAAAAAAATCGTAGATTTCAACATCAAATATTATTATCAAAGACAAATACCCTAAGCTGAATGAAGCATTTCCCCGATCAACCTCCTCGTGCTTAAGCTTCCACAATCATACACTCATTTACAGCTCGGACAACAAAGCCAAAAACTATACAGTTGATTAGAGCTAACCAACCAATATGATTCAAGATATTGCTGTTGTTTTGCATAAAACATACAAGAGTGCCACCATGGAGGGTGATTGAAGCAGAGTACAGAGGGTACTGAGGAATGGGACAAAGGATTCCATCCTTCTCCGACCTTATAAGTAACTGCATCATCATATGGACCTGAAAAGTCGAAAGACAAAAATAATCAGTTCATGCTAAGATTTGAATTTCATTGTTTCTGAAGTATGTTCACATAATATTAAAAAGGATGATGAAGGGAAATTAAAATTTACAGCTGGACTTGCACCATCAGTCAAGAAAATATCATTTGGATCAGCAGGAAAACCATCACGGGCTTCAATACCAGCAGCAATTGCATCACGCAATCCCTTGACACCCTGAAGTGAAGAAACAAAATGTAAGTTGTACGATACGACTGCTTGAGTAATGTGACAATTCAATCTTTTAAAGCTCCAAAGAGAAAGCACCCTGCCTGACTGTGACTATATGCACCAGTTGCTCGTCCAGGAATTTGATCCAGGATCTGCCAAGCTCGCTCTATGGCATCGGAACTGTGAATGTCAAAGAATGGTCCATAATGTTCATTGTTTTCAGGACTTGATCTTCAATACAACCAGCAAGTTTGAAATACAAGATACAAGAAAGACAGTGACTTAAAATAATTCGTAGTGACCTATAAAATAGACATTCAATTATGTGACACATTCTGAAATATACATGAGCAACAGTGGCTGTTGCAACTAATCAAGGAAAAGGATGGCTTTTCAAATTACTCGTACAATCTAGGGACTCCTGAAACTCATACAGGCATCTATAGAAATTCAGCATCAATCTGTATAATTTACTCAGCAGCTCAGAGAGCAAAAGATTAAGTATAATACTTCACAAACCTGAACAAGGCCTGTGTTTCACTTCTGTCCAAGATGGCTGGATGGTCACAGAGAGCAAGAACCTAACAAAAAAAGATATCTATATAAGGAGCGGAAAGAACTTTATTACACTGTGTAGAATGAATTAGTAACACACAAACCTCTCTGAAGAAAGTAATTGGCAGCTGACCAAGAGATTGTGGGTTTCCAATATTGCAGTAAAGTATCTGTCACATAAAAAGGGAAAAAAAAAAATACAGAATGCAGTATACAGATACGGAAACGTATTCCAAATATACACTTGTCTTGACATTTGAAAAAGGTCTAACGGGAAACAATTGTACCTCCTCAAAAGAATGGGAACCTGGATTCTCTTTTAATTCTTGTTGTAGTCTCTGCAAGACAAAACATTACAAAGGACAATCAAACAAATGAACAGATTGCAAAAATTGCCTAGATTAAATACAACATATTCAAAAAGTTTTTGTATTGCAAGAAAATTAATTCCTTTAGAATAGGATCATTGTGTGTGATCGATTGCCATCCACTTAAATAGGAACCATGATTTGTACAATAGTTGTCCATCCAACTGTTAATGAACTCAAGTATATTATTACCTGGGCTTGGGTGACAATTTCACCACGGACAGCATATTCGCATTTCAAGACCTGACAGAAAGGAACAATCGGTAATTAAGATCTTGACATGTAAAATGTCTACTCAAAAAGATGACTGAGAATCGAGATTTTAGGAGATTCAAATAAGGCACAACATTAGCATTAGTCTAAACTTGTTTTTGAACATTCTGAATTACGTAAGAAAGGCCATTTCAATAGCCCAAAACAAAACGGGATCAAGCATGTGTATCTCGAATAAATTAAGAAATTATTCTACGTCCTTTCAGCTGTTTGATTGGCTTTAAAGATGGATGTAGATCGCGAGGATTAATCCAATAAGATGAAGGAGAAAAATATACTAAATGTAAATATTAAGAAGACTGTTGCTTGAGGACAAGAGGGCTGCCAAACACTGAACAAGAGTAAATGGGAGGTGATGGCATACTGAAAAAAAAAAAGATAGAATCGCCACACAAAGAATTTACATCTAAAAAGAAAATTAGAAGCCAAATCTATAACACCATGCGACACGAAAACTAAAAAACAACCTTTTAGTGGAGACCCATGATCAACCATAGCATACATACAATAATGGCGAGTGCGGAAATTAAAAAAAAAAAAAATGGCTAAACAGGCAATGAAAAAGGGGAAGTGGGCAAAACCCAGCTGTAGAAACACAAAATAAACCCCAACCCGTGTACCGAAATAATATAAAAGTGAATCCAAAGCGCCGCAACGAACGATTAATCCATTTAAATTAAAGAAAGATTTACCTTTGGGTTGATGGTTTCAAGAGTGACAGGATTGGAAGCCATTGAATCAGAGGAAGAAGAAGGAGATGGATGAACAGATGTGAAGAAACGAGAAAGATGAGATTGAGAAGTTGAAGAAGCGAGAGCAGAAGAGCGATAGTGCGACACGAAAGTAGTAGTGGTACAGGAAGAAGGCCTCAGGATGAGATTTCTGGCTTTGTCGGCTGCGAATTTCCGCATTGTAACGTGATGTGTACCGACTCCAATTTAAAGAGAGGGTTTTGCGTCTTGGATGAAAATTGACACACACACTTTTCCAAGAAACTTTTCCTAGTTTCAACTATGAAAAATAGAGCCTCCTCTTTGTTTACTTGTTGCCCAAACCATCAAAAATAAGAGGAAATTACAATGGGCCTACGCCATTCGTTTCTTTGTGCGCCTGACAAAAGAGAACCCCGAGATTTTTTTATTTTTTTTTTAAAAATGTTACGTGTATCAATATTTTTATATTAAATAAGTTGGTAGTTCTAGATCACTATTTTTATTAAAAATTATTTTTATTTATTAAATGTTGATTAAAATATTTTTATTTGGATATGAAATTATCAACTCATTTGATGAAATCATTTTTTGGTAAAAATTTTGGTAAGTATGATATTACTCTTTTTTATTTTTTGATTTAAATTAAATAATATTTCAAAATTCTATGGATTGAATATTTAGGTCTTATCTATCTAACCGGTTATACTGATTTTAAATATTAAATTTAATAAATAATTTAGTAATATAATTTTATTTTTATTTTTTTTCCCTAAGGGTGGGCCCACTTCACCCACTACATAGACTTTTCCCGCTGTCTTTATATGCTCATTCACTGTATCAATTTGTCTCTCAAATCTCTCTATTTTTTTTAAACTTTAAAGATTGTTTCTTTTTCTTTTCATCACAGCCGAAGGGAGGGACGATTCGGATGAGAACGCCAGCGAAAGCAAGGATGAAAAAGTCAACACTGATGTCTGATCTGATTAGCAAAATATAAATACTGATGAATCATTTAAGTTAAATATTTCCTCCATTTCTAAATATACGTTACTTAAGATTTTTGCACAGTAATTAAAGAAGTTATTAAATAATCTTAATATAAGTAAAAAATAATTATACAAGACTAAAATATTCTTATTCAATATGTATCAAAAAAGAAAAGAATATAAACGACACTTATCCTCTACCAAATCTAATGCATTGAAAAATTAAAAGTAAATTTAGAAGAAAAAAATATTAATTATATTTTAATTTTATTAAACGATAAATATTATAGAACTAAATAAATTATATAAAATGACA